TGTGGCTCTGTTGGCTGGGCATCGTCCCACAGACCCAAAGGTCGCCGGTTCAATTCCTGGGCAGGGCACATGCCTGGGTTGCAGGTTTGGGCCCTTGGTCGGGATGTGTACGAGAAGCAACTGATCCATGTTTCGCTCCCTTTTTTCCTCCCTTCCCCTCGCTGTAAAAATAAATAAGTAAAATCTTTAAAAATGAAAGTAAGTTCTGTGCAAAATTTTTGGAGGTGAGGAGAGATACGTATAGTATGCTGGTTGTGATGCACAAATGCGTGCGTGTGTCCAAAGCCATCAGGATGCATGCATGAAGCCCCGGCTGGTGTGGCTCAGTGGACTGAGTGCTGACCTAAGAACCAAAGGGTTGCGGGTTCGATCCCTAGTCTGGGCACAGGCCCAGGATGCAGGCCAGGTCCCCAATGGAGGGTGCGTGAGAGGCTACTACACGCTGATGATTCTCCTTGTCTCTTTCTCCCTCCCTTCCCCTCTCTCTAAAAATAAATAATAAATAAAAAAGATGCATGCAACCCTGGCTGGCATAGCTTAGTGGATTGAGCTCGGGCTGTGAACCAAAACATCGCAGGTTCGATTCCCAGTCAGGCCACATTCCTGGGTTGCAGGCCATGACCCCCAGCAACTGCACACTGATGTTTCTCTCCCTCCCTTCCCTCTCTAAAAATAAATACATAAAATGTTAAAAAAAAAGATGCATGCATTAAGTGTATGCGATTTTTTGTCTATCAGTTAAACCCCAACAGAGCTAAAAAAAAAAGAAACCTCCCCGAAAACAACCAAACGCATGAGAGCGTGCGCACCCTCTGACCCACCACTGCCCCCTCTCGGCGTGCGTCCAAGGAGTTCTCAGCCAGGTTCAGAGGAGAACCAGTACGGTGGCGTCAGTCACGGCGCAGTGTCCGTCCGGTGGCACCGTGGACGACCTTCCCTGGGACAGCGGTGAGCACACCGGGGCAGGGGGCCGCTTGAATGACGTCAGCAGTTGGAAGCTCCCGGCTGGGAGTCCGCAGAGCCCTGCGCACAGAGTTTCAAAACCCAGTGAGGACTGGGGAAGGCGAGAAGCGGGCCACTGGCTGCTGGTGACGCTGTCCGTCTCATGAGTTCAAAGTACGTGCACGTGTACGTGTGCATACGTGACCATGTATGTATTTTTTTAAAAGATTTTATTTATTTTTTAGAGAGGGAAGGGAGGGAGATAGAGAGAGAAACATCAATGTGCGGTTGTTGGGGGTCATGGCCTGCAACCCAGGCATGTGCCCTGGCTGGGAATCGAACCTGCGACCCTTTGGTTCGCAGCCGGCGCTCAATCCACTGAGCTACGCCAGCCAGGGCCATATGTGACCGTGTGTGTAATTTTAATCCATTTGGACACAGTGCTGAACAGCGAGGGGACGACGAGGAGATTGGAGGGCCTTGGGGACCACTCTCGGGAGCGTGTGTGGCCGCCACAGGCAGGGGGACTGGTGGGGGCTGCCACACGGAAGCCGAGAGGCCCTTGTGACGGGCGGGTCCCTTGCGCGGGCCTTCACATGTCCTGGCCCCTGCCAGGCTGTTTGTTCGCCAGGGACGGAAACCCAAGGGACACCGGCGTCGGCAAACAGAGTCACTGACTCTGGGACTGGAAGACCAGCGTGACGCTGGTCCTGGGGACTCTGGGGGATGGCAGCTACGTTCCTCTTTCCATCTCTGTCTCTCTCTGCCTCCGTGTCTCCGTGTCTCTTCCACCTCTGGGCTGGACTCCTCGTGGAGCGTGGTGTGGAAGAGGGGAGGCCGAGGGTCACAGCTTCTCACCCCAGTTCAGCGGCCCCCGGAAGGGAAGACAAAATCTCTTTTAGCATCCGGAGATCCAGACCCAGGGAAAGACTCTAGCTGGAACAGCTCGAGTCACACGTGCAACCGTGGGCCAATCACTTCGGCTGGACGGTGGGTCTCGGATCACTGAGGCCTTGTCCAGAGGCCTGTGGCCTGAGGGTGGCGCTACAGGTGTCCGCAGGACGGAGAAGCGGGGACACTGCAGAGGTGGGGCAGCCCCTGCTACAGGGGAGGCTCCAGGGGGGTGCTTGTAAGGCGGTGGTCTGACTAACATCTGTTTGGCAAGGGGCCGAAATCAACCCCAGAAAAACGGCAAACGTCTGGGCAGCCAGCCTGGGCAGTGGCCAGAGATGGCGGCAGGGCTGTCCTTTCCAGCCTCTTCTCACGAGCCGCTGGTGGCCCACAGCGAGAGAACAATGGCCGTGTTCTTCCAGACGCTGTGTAAACAGTAGTGGTGTGGCATGGCCCCTTGAAGGCCCGGGGCTGATGAGCTCCCTGCGGCAGCCCTCTCTTCCGCGGAGAAGAACATTCCAGCAGGATGAGGTCAGCAGGCCAAGGAAAGCTGGCGGTGCGGAGGGGGTTCCTGGGTCAGGGCTCTGGTGCCTGTCCCCCACCTCCTGCCCTTAACCTGGACTTTCCCCATCACAGGCGGTCTCAGAAGTCTCTGAGTGTGCCTGAGGCCCTGCTCCGCTGTGAACGCAGAGGTTGGTGGACGAGGGGAAGTGGGACGCCCCAGACCCTCCTGCTGCTCCCCCAACTTTTCCTTCTCTGGCCCGCAGGCGGACTTGACTTTGGTGGCCACACAGAAGTTAGCCTTTGATGAACTGACGCTGGGCGTGACGAGGGCTGGCCGAGAGCACAGGTGACACAGTAGACACAATGACACTGATTGGACTGGGCTCTACACCAGCGTTGTATTTAGGTGAGTATAATGCGCACTGTTCAGCCCAAACTTTTGAGGGAAAAATACGGATAGGCATTATACCTGGGTATAATGATTACATACCATGGGTGCAAAAATGGGCATGCTCTGTGTATAATGTGCACAAAAATGGCGGGTGTGCACTGAACACTGCAAGATACGGGATAGCTTTGTACCTCAGTGAATCCAACCCGAATCTCCATTGGGTTGGCATTGTTATCACCCCCACGCTGTGGGTGAGGAGAGGAAGCCTCCCCCAGTTACTGTGATGGTAGAAATCTGCATCCAAACTCGGGTCTGTTTGGATCAAGAGCTCTTGATCTCCCCCAACTGTCTCCATAACCGAGTTGCCTAGGGATGTGTGCCCAGCTCCGTGCTCGTCTGCCCCAGAAGGCAGCATGGTTGTGCACTGCCCAAGGGCCCTGGGAGGGCCGGGGCTCTGCTCACGGGGCCTCTGGGCCTGGAGGGGCTGCCTTTTTCTAATTCTCACGAAGACAGCACACAGGCCAGCAGCAGCCCTTCGCTGGCCCAGGCTGGCCCCCTGGGCCCTCTGACACAGCCCCCCATGCGGCTGGCCCCCCCTGCACAGCAGGCCCCTTCCATCAGGCTCGTCTGGTGCGCTGCGACTGGTTCCCACGACAAAACTTGTTTTTCCTGTAACTCACCCAGCATTTTCCTGCCTCCGAGCTCTTGCTTCCTTGGTTCTCCTGGCCTGGAATGCCGGTTTCTTCCCAACCACCTCCCTCATTTCATTTTAATAAAACCTACTTCTCCTGCCTTTAATCTGGCCAGTTGGGGTGGTGGACACACAAGGTACTGATGATGTGTTACAGAACTGTACGCCGAAACCTGTGTCATTTTATTGACCGATGTCACCCCAGTTTAAAAAAAGGATGGCTCAGCCCTGGCTGGCATACTTCAGTGGATTGAGTGCGGGCTGAGGCAGAACCAAAGCATCGCAGGTTCGATTCCCAGTCAGGGCACATGCCTGGGTTGCAGGCCATGGTCCCCAGCAACTGCACATTGATGTTTCTCTTTCTCTTTCTCCCTTCCCTCTCTAAAAATAAATAAATAAAATCTTTTTTTAAAAAAAGGATGGCTCACCCATTGTGTCACACTCACACCATAAAGTACTGTACTGCAGTGAGAATAAACTACAGCCATAGTAAACAGTACAGATGAATCTAGTAAGTATTAAAGCCCCAGCAGGATGCCCACTCTTCAGAAGGCCTTTCGGGCACCACAGTGAGACTTCATCTCGTGGTCTGCCTCCGCTCACACTGCTTTGTATCTGTGCATTTATTTATTTTTAGAGAGAGGAGAAGGGAGGGGGAAAGAGAGGGAGGGAAACATTCTGTGGGAGAGAAACAGCGCTCAGTTGCCTCTTGTAGGCACCCCAACCAGAGACCAAACACAAAACCCTGGCCTGTGTCCCAGATGGGAATCGAACCTGTGAACTTTCACTTTGCAGGATGAGGCCCAACCAACTGACCCACATCAGCCAGGGCAAGGGGTTCTGATTTTAAAGCCACCCATTCTAGGGAGGATTGTTAAAAAAAAATCGGTTGATATTTTGCTTCCCTGCATTTGTCAATTTGGCTCAAATACACTCATAGAAATTTTCTAAAATAAATAGCTAAATAAATAAAGCCGCCTGCTCTGATTAGGATGGCTTCCAGAAATGTGTTGACCAGGTCTGCAGCGTCAGTAGCCCGAGGGCAGCACCCAGCGGTTGCTCTTCGCAGCCCACAGGTGGGCTTTCGCAAACGCGGTGCAAAGGCCAGGGTGCCCTGGTGCAGCGCCTCCCTGCTGCCCTGCGGAGCTGCCACTCCTGCAAGACTGCACCGCGGACCCTGCACCCACGCGGGCCCTAGTAGCTTTGCGGGATACAGGACCGCAGATCTACGGCTGGTCACCGGGTCTGTCAGGGACAGAAGCCCAGGAAAAGCTGCAGGAACCCCAACCACACCCTGCCCCGCGAACTTGTTTACGCCTCTAGCACGGCCCCTCCCGCCCGGCCAGCCGGACCACGTGACTGCCCCGCCCCTCGCCCTCTCGCATAGCTCCTCCCACCGCACCGGCCCTTCTTTTTGCCTCCTTCAGAGTCACAAGATCTCTCAGTGGCCTTATTTCGGGATCCTTCCGCTCGTCCCCGCCCCCCCCCTCCGCCCCGCTACCTTATAAACTCTCCTCGTTTTTTCTCGACTGGTCTTTATTATCATTAATGAGAAGCACGGCCTCTTCAGTCCAACGGGGCTGCGGACGGTAGTCATCTGTCATTGGGCTCGAGGGAGAGGCGAGACCCCGCTGGGGACTCTTTTTCGTGGCGGAGGCTGCGTTGGACCGTGGACATTTCACGACGGGGGAGGTGCTGTACGTCCAAGATGGCGGCGCCCTGTAGGCTGGAGGAACTGTGAGGTAAACAGCTGAGGGGGAGGAGACGGTGGGTGAGTATGGGGGTGTCGCCCCCTCCTTTTCATGGGGGCTTCTCGGGGCTGCCCTGGCACCTTGACCCCAGGCGGGGAGGCCCTGGGGGGCGGGGGCAAGGGGCTCCCTCTCAGAGGACGGGACCCTGGGAAGGGGGATTGGCAGAGCTTTCCCCTTCCTCTCATTACGCGCTGGCTCCGGTGGGCCCGGCTGGGTTGGCGGGTCCCTGGGATGCAGAGGCGGACCTGGCCGGCACTTGGCCCTCCTCGGAGCTCTGGGGGGCGGACGGACGCACGTCCGGGCCGCAGCGCCCGGGGCAGGGGGCAGGTGAGCCCCCTCGCCAGCCCTTCCCTTGGGGTGGCGGTGACAGATTCCCGCGGGGTGCGGAGGGCGGCGGAGAGGCCCGGGGGCGGCGGGGCAGGCCCGGGCGGCGGGGCTGGCCCCAGGGCTCGTCGCGAGGGGCGGGGGGTGGGGGAGATGAATGGAGGCTGCCTGTGGACGTCGGGGTCCGCCCGGAGCCGCCCGCGGCCGCCGGGCCTGGGCGCCGCCGCCGGAACGTGCTGGGCTGCGGAGCGTCGCTGCGGGGGCGCTTGTGGGTGTTTAATGGACGGCGAGAGACAGTTACCTCGAGGCAGCCGCGGTGGTTCTTCAGAGACAGCTATTCGCAGAGCCACTCCTCGACGCTCATTCATTCATTCGAGGAACGGCAGGGTGGAGGGCTTGCAGTCGGAGGGAGCTTTTCGAGTTAGAGCTCCTTCTTTGTGTTTCTCGGTCAAGAGTTTTGCTGGGTGTGTTTTGCATGGGGGGGGGGGTGTCTTGGGAGGGGGTGCGGTTCTCCTAAGAACAACCACTCCCGGTTATGGGGTGCTCCCTGTGCCAGCGGTCTGCAGCCATCGCCTCCTTAGTCCTGGCGACCCAGCGGGGAGGCGGCCACTGTTACCTCTGCCATTCCGCAGAAGGGGAAACTGAGGCCCAGAGAGATTCCTGGCAGGCACCGAAGGTCACCTCTAGCAGCGTCCCATTGAGGCCTGGGGCCGGGGTCTCACTGATGCCACGACTGTGGACCAGCAGGTCCTTGTTTGTCCCCACGTGACTCTCTCCTGTGCCTGTTACTTGGTCAAAGCTGGCCTGTCCGTCTCATTCAGTGATTAGCATGAACCAGGGTGCACAAGTGCCCGCGTGTGTGTTTCGTTTGGAAGAGGGGCGCGATTGCCTCCTCGCTTGCCTTGACTTTTGTTTGGGTCGGCCGCCCTGTGCGCAGAGACGCGCTGGTCTGGCCTGGAAAGTAGCGGGTGTTTTTCTGAAAGGGTGAGTTGGCTGCAGAGACAAGTTTGGCTAAAAAGCCCTTGCTGGATTTTTTTTTTTTTTTTATAGAAAGCATAGAAATAGCACTTCACTTGACACAGAGTGTGCTGTGAAAGCACTGAAATAGAATAATACTCCTCTGAGATGCCTGGATTTGTGATTTCGGGATCAGCCCGGAGTCGTCTGAACTCAAACGTGCTGGCAAAATGGGGCTGTAAATGTCAAGGAGCATTAGGACGCCGGACCTTCTGGGGGCCCTCACCTCACTGGGCAACCAAGCGCCTGTGATCCTCAAGCTGAGCATTCCGGGGTAACTCTGGAGGACGCAAATGTGGAAACGGACCTCGGGTTGTGCGGGGAGTGGGTCTTTAACAGTCGTGCAGGCAGCAGTGAGACAGCCTTCGCAGTGGCCCAGGGGAGCGCAGACTCTTCCTCCCAGCCACCTGCTGTAAACTTAGGGGGTGTTTGTAGAAGACGCAGAAGGAAAACACCCTGTTGCTGAAGTTGCTAACGTCTCATCCCAAACGCTCTGAGGTCACGTGGCGGGAAGGCCGGTGCTGTGAGCTTTCTTCGCCTCACGCGTTTCCTGGCGTGGTGAAGACTGGGCGCGCTCCCGAGTGCCCGGTGAGAGCGCTGGGCTGGGAGCGAAGACCTCCCACACTGCTCGCCGGTGTGGCCACGGTCCCTTGTGTGCGTGCCCGGTTAGTCTTACTGGGACACATCAAATACGTGCCTGTCCGTGTGATGTTTACCAAATGACGGGATTGCCGGGAGCCGGAGGCCTCCGACGGTGCTCGCGCGGACCTCCGCCGCAGGTGGCCGGCCCCGCGGTGGGTGGATCTGCAGATGCTGCCTGGGGGATGCCCTGAATGTGCACCTGTATTTTGGGAGGGGTCAAAGGTGACGCTGATGTGCAGCAGAGGTTGAGGACCCGTGCCTTCAAGCTTCAGTGTGGCTGTTTTTCTTTGAATTTGTATCTTTACTGCAGGGCATTTTTAAAAATAGCTTCTAACCTCTGGTGTGTGTGGAGTAGGGTGAATTCTGGGCTCTGAATCACGACTGGGTTGATGTCACGGCTCCGTCTCCTTTTAGAGTTTGTCGGGGTGCAGGCGTGCTTTTTTCCGGGTCCCAGGGCCACAGCGGGCTAAAATCCACTTCTCCGGGAGTTCACTGGGTATTTTGGGGTGCAGATGAGTGACACACAGCCGTGTACCAGCCATTTCAAGCTTTCTGAAGTCGGGTAGCTTTCCACTTGGAACAAGTCACTTAAGTTCTGTGGGCCTCAGTTTCTTCCCCTGTGAAATGAGTCGGACGGTAAATGAGAGCATTTCTAAATCTGAAGTTTGGTGACTTGAGCCCCTCCTGCTGCTTCAGTTAAATATTCTGAGTAAATTGATTGAACCAAAGTGTTAATGGCTTTATAATATCTAAGCAAATTGGTGACTCTTAGCTTGACCTGTCTCTGACCTGTTTATCTTATCCTTATATCACATTATTTAAATTTTTTTTTTAATTTTTTAGAGGGGGGCAGGGGAGGCAGAAAGAGAAGGAGAGAAACGTCAATGTGCGAGAAATATGCAAGGGATACATCCATCTGTTGCCACTTGCACCCTCTCAACTGGGGACCTGGGCTGCAACCCAGGCCTGTGTCCTGACTGGGAATTAAACTGGTGACCTTTCAGTTTGCAGGCCAGCACTCATCCTACTGAGCCACACCAGCCAGGGCTATATTACATTGTCTTTATTTTATATATATATTTAAAAATATTTTAATTATTTATTTTAGAGAGACAGGAAGGGAGGGAGAAGGAGGGGGAGAGACATTGATGGGTGAAAGGTGCATCCACTGGCTGCCTCTCACACGCCCCCACAGGGACCTGGCCTGCAGCTCAGGCGTGTGCCCCGACTGGGAACCAAACCGGTGACCTTTTGGTGTGCAGGCGGGTGCTTAATCCACTGAGCCACACCAGCCAGGGCTATGTTTCATTATTTTTAAAAGGTGATTTCCTGTAAGTTTCTCATACTATAAATCTCTCTTGAAGAGGTTAGTTTTATTTGTATTAGTTTTGTTTGTCATTTAAGTAGCTGATCTCATGAAGGAAAATCACACTCAGCATTGTAGTCTGTAGTCTGAATATGTAGTATATGCTCAAACACTGAGTTTTTTCCGTAGTTGTTTAATATAATTTAGTTTTCATGAAGTACTCATTTTTCCTCTTTTAAGTTGGTCCGAAAGAGGTCTGCCATCAGCAATTTTCTGATTTACTTCTTGTGCCTGTAGTTACTAGAAATTAATGTCTCTTTTTGGGGAAAAGAATAAAAAAATCATTACCTATTCACTCATTCCCAGGACTGCTGTTTTTTTTTTTTCTTGTCCCTTCTCTCATGCAGCACTACCTTTTGCTCTATACAGCAAAGTAGTAAAAGGTACTAAATATTTTTAAAGGTTGAATGAATTCACATTGGCATCTGATGAGTCAAGTGCCTTGAACAGCAAGGCTGGAGCCGAACAAGGTGCGGTAGTTCCTGGCCTGGACCCCCCAGGGCACTGTGTATGGGCAGTGGCAGGCGCGACCACGGCGTGTGTGAGTGATGAGGGCCAGCGTGCCCTTCTGCTGGTGAGGGCAGACGACACGGCGGCGAGTGATAAGGGAGAACAACTGTGCTGACCTTCGCGTCTCCAGCCCGGGAGCCGCGCTGCCTGAGAGGTTCTCCAACACAGTAACCGACACGAAAAGTATACATTTTCAGCTGCAGAAGGGTTTTGTCAATGTTCAAATGCAAGTTGTTAAACTGATAGACTGCTGACACGCATCCAGCAATACATTTTGTAGTAGTATTTCTATAATCAAGTTTGTATTTGTTGAGTACTTATGAGCCAAACACTGCTCTAATATTCTGCACATACTATCCTACGAACTCTCCCCCCAGCCTGGAGAGACAGGGTGGGGGGATGCGGAAACCGAGGCCTGGAGGCCCTTGCTGAGGGGCTGAGCTGGGGTCTGGACCTTGCTGGCTCACCCCCGAGCCCCCACACTCAGATTGAATGTTTCGCTGTGTTCAACTGCCTGACCTGCAGTCTCATGAACTAACTCCTAGGTCAGTGGTTCTTAACCTTTTATTTTTATTTATTTATTTATTTATTTTTTGAGGTGGGGAGCTCAGTTCCCTTCTGAAGATCCAGGGACACTGTGCACCAGATACCCCTCCCCGTCCCATCACCACCACCACGAACACTCCCAGAGTGTGAGACACGGGGTGCGGCTTCGGGAGCCCCACAGACCCCGCCTGGGGCTCGGCCTGCCCGCCTGGGTCCTGGGCTCAGCCTCTGTCATTGCGTGCGCACACAGACTCGTTACTGACATTCTGCAGCTCGCCAAAAACCCCCACATTTTTTGCTGACCTGACAGAAAATAGGTGTAATTTTGATTCAGTCACACCAGGTGACTTGTGTTGGCTGTTGTCATTTTTTTATTTGACCATCTAAGGGAAAAGAGGTCAGTGCTCCTGACCAAATGGTCAGGTGCTGCATGTCTTAACAACTCTTGTGGCACACTGGTTGAAAAACTGCTGTTCTAGATAAATTATTGCTCTTAAGAATGGACTCTCTCTGTCTCTCTCTCTCTCTCTCTCTCTCTCTCTCTCTCTCACTCACTCACTCACTCTCAATCTCACCGGTAGGTAGGAAAGACCCAAGTCTCTTAAAGATGAGCCCATGCACTGTTTGTACTGTAAATTATGTTTTCAAACTCTTACATTGGAAGATTTGTTACACTTCACTGGAAATCAGCCTTAGGTGCCACATTAAAAAAAACCAGCAGCCGAGAGCTCAGGCCTGTAACTTGCGAGGCGCTCATCAGGGTTGGCGTTCAGTCCGTGCTGGTGCCTTTAGCACCTGGTAGCACTGTACTGGTTTTTTTCCCTTTGAACCTCAAAGTACATACAAAAATACCTATTTAATGTTTCTTGCCTTCATCCTTTTTTCTTCCTGAACCAGCAGTTCTCAACCTGTACTGGGCATCGGGATCAGCTGGGAGATCCGCTCCCAAAGTTTCTGATTCCAGGGCTGCGCAGGGCCCGGGAGTTCGCCCTTGCGACGGATTCCGGGCAGTGCTGGTGTCGCCGGAGTGAGGCCCACGTTGCAGGACCCCCGTCTAAGCGGTCGCACACGGCGCCTCGCGCCGTGAGTGTCTCCGTTCTGGTCCTGGAGAAATCTTAGTTTGCTCAGGCTGCTTCTGGGGGGAGCTCCGGGTGGCGACTCTGACACGTACGTGGTGCCTGTCTGGTCTGTGTTTTCTTGGTGAATGATTTCATTCCTGTTAATAGAAAGTCAGAACATAAGAGGCATTTATGTGTAGAAGAAACATACCTTTCTAAAATCAAGCTCTGCGCCTGCAGGCAACCTTTGCAATAGGACAGGAGCTTCAGCAGATTGCCCCTCAGGCTCCCTGACGGCAGAGTTCTGAGTGGAGTCGGGAGCTGTCCCGCCCAGCCCAGGTGACCTTGAGGAGGACCGCCACGGCCGTGGCCGTCAGGCCACACACGGCTGCCTGCTTTGGCAGGTCTTGGTGTCAGCGGCTTCGCTCACACACTAAGTAGTGCTTCTACCCTCCCTTTCCTTCTCTGCGGTGGGGGCGGGGACCGGGGCCAGTGTCACCCTGCGTGGACGCGCTTGTGCCGAAGGCAGCTTCGCTCACCTGGTGGAACGTCACTCCGAGAAGCCCCTCAGAGCTGAGCGTGCTGGCGCGAGTGCACTGGGGGCGTGCCCACTGTGTCATTACCGTGGTGGGACATGTTTCTGCTTTACATGCGCCGTGCTCGGTAATGAACTAGTCCGTCTGTGCCTGAACCTGTACCCGAGGGGTCTTTGAGTTACTTTAGATGAAGACCTGCGTGCAGAAAACGTGGGTAGGGAAGAGAGAGTGGCCTCTGTTTCCACCTGCAGTTGCGGTGTCCATCACAGACAGGTGTGTGCAAAGTCACTGGGCCACATGCTCGCAGTGTCCTCTGTGTGACTGGCAGTTCTGGACTCTTAGGGGTAGGAGGCCGCGCACAGCACCGGCTCTCCCCAAGTCTGAAGGCCTGGAGGTGTCTGCCGCCGGCGTTGGTGCGGGTGTGTGTGGCTCAGCCCTGTCACGGCCCATTGTGCGACCTGCCGGGAGCAGACCCGTGGCAGCTGGGTGCGGGTCCCGCTACGGCAGCCGCACACGGCAGGGGTGCTGCGGTTCGTGTGGCATCCCGGGTGGGTGGCCATCGGTCTGGGAACAGCTGGGGTGTGAGAGTCAGGTGACCGCGGTGACGGGTTGGCCTGCGTTCCTCCTGTGTGGTCTGAGAGTGCTGGAGCGCAGGGCCCTCCCCTTCCTCACACCCGCTGTTGGCTGTTGTCCGAAAGACTGCTTGTAGGAGTGCGGCCACAGGGTTGCACTGGGGCGAGAGCAGCTCTCCCGCTGTCAGAAGGGAAATGAAGATCCGGGGCTGTGTTTCGTTTCCTTTTGGCTTTTGAAGCTAAGAACATGGGTTGACCCCCAATGCTCAGACAGGTGCTTCCGTCCATCCCCCTTGGGGTGCACGCACCTCCGACGGGGGTCTGCTCCATTCCTCACTTCTGGCCAGGAAGCTGGGGCTCACACGTCACTTTGCTGACCGGAGGGGTCCTACCTCGGTAGGGCAGGACTGAGTGGGAACCAGCAAGTGGACAGACAGCTGAAGCATCAGTCATAGCAGGCTGCTCCGACCTACACGCCAGCGTCACGGGGATGCTGGCCTGCTGCCCTCGCAGGGGTTTGGTGGCGCGGTGACACAGGCATCGAGGAGACTTCATGTTGCGAGTGGGACAGAGACGCTCTGACTTCCTGTGCCAGCCCCTTTATCTAGGATGGAGGTGCTGGCCGGGCAGGCCGAGAGAGCTCGCCCGTGGGTGTGCCCCGATTTCACCCTCGCCTTGGGTGCCGCTCGCAGGTCAGGGGCCCAGCTGGGGTTCCCCGGAGGAGAGGAACTGCCTCCAGCTGGTGGAGGGTCTGGAGGCCAGAGGCCCCGTGTTCCCTTCCGGCTCGTTCCCGTGGCGTGACAGTGGCCAGGCCAGCGCGCCCTGTCTGAAAGGCCAGCTGCCCCCAGCGCCGCACACAGAGCGCATGTGCCCCCGAGGCCCACGGTGCTGGGGCCCGAGGTCTGAGTTGTTAGCGAGTCGCTCGGTGCCCCGGTTGGACTCGGACCGGGACAGTCCGTGGGGGGGCTCATTGCAGGCGTCCCCACGCTCGGGGAGTCGGGGGCACGTGGCGTGTGGGCTCAGTCCTCGTGCCCCACTGTCGGCCTGGGGACGGCCACCGAAGGAGCTGCTGGGGTCGTCGCCCACGGAACAGGGTCACTTGCCCCTCGTGGGGCAGACGCCGGAGTAGCCCGTGGGTGTCATTGGTGGACTGGTTGGTCTCTGTCCTCACGGAGCTTCCAGCCTGATGGTCAGCCCGTGCCTCGGTCCACTCTGAAGGGCCCAGGCGGTGAAAGCAAACTGGAAGGTATGTGTGTACGGGTCTGGCGGAGGAACACCCCTGAGTGCGGTTGGCGGGGCGGGTGGGTGACTGTCTCGCACGGGAGGGCCGGGAATTTGAACGTTGCATCTAACGCATCCCATGGTGTGCTTGAGTGTGACTGCTATGTTACAGAATTACACACGCGTGATTTCATAATACAAGATTTGGTGTAGATTCCCAGCACATAGAGAAGGGGCGTTACTCGTGCCGGACCCCCTGTGTGCGCACTCGGGACGTAGATATTTAATACGAGGTCGTGTGGACAGAAAGTGGGGTGGGGGTGGGGGGAGAGAGTAGAGAAATGGCAGCTCTTCACAAGTACTTGATGCTTGTCGTGGAAAAGGGTTGGGTTGGGGTCGTGCTGTTCTGAAGGCAGAATTCCGCTTTGCGCATTTAAGACTGTTCCAACTCCGAGTCACTCAGTCCACAAGTGCAGCGGGTCCTTATTTAACGTCATCGTCAGTGCTGCAGCTTTAAGCAGCGTGATGTAGAATGAGACCATTTTTACTGTCGGCTGAGGGACGTGAAGGGGCTGAGGTCCCGCGGTGTCTCGTCAGCAGTGCCAGGACGTGACGTTGCGGGGACTGAGGGGCTGCTGGAGCGCCCGCCGTGCTGGGCGCAGCCCCGATGGGCCACGCTCCCTTGCTGGACGGATCTCGTGGTCTGGGGGGAGACGTGGTCAGCAGCAGTGACCCCGGGGTAGTGGGGCTGTGGTGAGGGACACAACGAAACCGAGGCTGCCGAGAGCACGGCACCGGGCCCCACCCCGCCTGGGACTCGGGAGTGGAGGGGGTTTGTACGCTGGTTTGGAGGTAAAGACGCAGCTTGGGGGGCAGCAGGTCCTGAAATGGGGGTGGGAGTGGCTCGGCTGAGAGACTGAGGGGTCAGTGGGGCCTGGTGGGGCGGGCGGCCGGTGACGGCCCCGCATTGCTCCACTCCTGGGGCTGCCTCCAGGGCCCCTGGAGCCTGCACTCCGTGCCACACGCTGTGCGGGGGCGCAGGGCCGCGGCGTCTCCTCCGGTCCCCACTCAGCCTGTGAGGAAGAGGTACCGTGGACACCAGAGACAGGATGGAGAGCCACCAGCTGCACAGCCGGTCGGTGGCAGAGCTTGGGCTTGCACTCGGGACCCTCGGATCCCCCGGAGCCTCTCCTGACCATCCACTTCCTCTCCGTCTGTTTATAGCTCTGATGCAGACAGTTAACGAAAGGCAGAGGTTACCAGTTCCACACAGCACAAAGAATTTCCAGCACCGGCTGTCCAGCAGTGTAGACAGGGAGAGGCAAGCGTGCCCAGCGAGGGTGTGTGTTCCCGTGGCGAGCAGATGGCCGCCTGTCAGAGCCGGAGCGGGAGGCGGTGGGGGCCGGTGGACACCGGACTTCTCTGATTGCGCCTGGGTTCCCTCCACTGTAAGACGGCTACTTACGTACGTGTGTTTTTTTCCCCTCCAGTGACCATGAAGGACACCAGGTTGACAGCACTGGAAACGGAAGTACTGACTGTCCCCAGAATAGGTAAGGGATCAGCTCAGTCCACTGGTTCAGGAAGGCAAAAGGGGATCGGTCGTCTCGTCCACGGCTGTCCTGGTGTACGTGTTTCTTGCATGCAGGGTTTAACGTGTGTGGTTCCAGCTGCTTGCCAGCAACTGGACCGTCTGTGGCACAGGTGGCACACACAAGGCCTGCAGGCTGAACCCGGCCCTCCACCTGGTTTTATCCGGCCCGGCACCTTGTTTCTACCTGGCAGCAGCGCTGAGTCTCGCTTACCTGTTAAGGAGGAGTCACATTTATACAGCCCTAACGTTACCTTCGGCCCTTTGAGGGCGACCACGAGGCTGATGTGGCCCCGGTGAGAATGAGTTTGACGCCCCTGGTCTATGGCATAAAGTAATTGGTCAAATTACTGATGATTATTAATCGCTTATTTGGTGCCGGCACTGTTAAGCGCATTACTTTTCTTCACAGCCACGCTTTTGGTGCACCCGCTGCTTAGAGGTGCAGAAGCGGGCTCTGGGACGCTCGCTGCTTCCCCTGAGGTCACGGGGCTGGCACCTGGTGGGCCCGTGGCCCCAGCCAGCCCTGACAGCCAAGCTGGGCTCTGCTCGCTGCGCTCGGGGGAGCCCGTGGGCTGGAGCGAGTCGTTCAGCCTGGGCAGAGGCGCTCAGCCCAGGCCGGCCTTCCCGGTGCGCTTGGGCCCACGCACGTGAATTCGGTGTGGACCACACGTGCAGCCTGGGCCCTGCCCCGTGACCTGCTCTGCAGCGCGGCCCGGGCCCCAGGCTGCTTCTGTAGTGGGCATCCCGCAATGGGGGGGACGGGACGTTGATTCTGGGTTCCTTGCTCCAGAGCTTCCAGTTTGCTGGCAGAGGAGCCGTAGAGGAGCGGGGTGCGGGCAGGAAGGGGGTGAGAGGCCGCTGCTGCCTTGTCTCCAGGGGCGATGAGGGGCGGGGGCCGGGGGGACCGCAGAAGGCTGGTGACATCAGTGGTTTGCCGATGGGTGAGGTGAGGGCAAGAGCGGTGAACTGACGGAGGTGTCACCTAGATGTTTGCTGTAGACTGACGGTCGTGCCTTTTACTGAGGCCCAGAAGACTGGGGACAGGCTTGGCGTGGTAGTGGGTGCTGAAAGCCATGGCCCCTGCGTATAAATAGCATCGTCTGTAGCCCTGCACTGGGGCATGCGGCCGCCAAAGATAATCCCGAAGTGGATGGAATGTGGCCTTGGCACGCAGCTGCAGAACTGTATTAACCCAGATACTCACTTCTGGCCTGTCCTGGCTCCTCTCTTCCCTGTACTTGGTTCTTCCCGAGTGGAAGAGAGACTTCCACGCCATTCTCAGACTTCCATGGCCGGCAGTGGGCGTCTCAGGTGCCCGTGGTGCTCACCACTGAGTGTCTGTTTCCAGCCCCTCGTCCGTCGGCTGCGGAGTGTGTTTAGTGCGCGTGCCGCTCCCCACCCCCAAGTCTGGCCCCAGCCGGTCCCCTCCTCCCCTGTGCGCCCTCTGAGCCCCGGCCCTTGCTGAGTCCGCCGCCTGCGTGGCGCCCTGCACTCAGGCCCCCAGGAAGCGTTCGTGCCAGTTCGAAGAGGAGAGGTGCTCCCGCCGTGGGACTCGGTCCAAAGGCTCGTGATCTGATGCCTCGGGGACTTGAGGAGGTCAGATACCCTGAGCTTGGGTCGCTTAAAGAAGAGTCGCACACGAAGCCCAATCTTGATTATTCTGTTCTGGGGATTAGAAAATAGGGTTAAAGGGTAGAATTTTAGACCCAAAGAGAAAAAAGCTTGTTGCCAAAAATATTGTAACGTGTTTTAGGTAAAACCTCATTTTTTGCCTTCTGTGAAGCATTGGAAAGAGTAGGCTTCAGAAACGGGACCTTTGTGCCTGGTTTACTCACATTGTATTTGCAAACTGCAAAACGAGCTGAGCAGTCCGAGCTGGTCAGCCCTGACCACTGCCAGGGGGCCTGGATGGTCGCCGCCTTTGTTGAGGGTCGAGCTCGCATCCCTGTGCCCGGGGGGCCCAGCCCCGACAGGACTGCCCTCAAAGCACACACAGACAGCAGCGCCTCCGCCTCCGAGACTGAAGCCCGAGACTGAGGCCCGGCGAGGAGCAGTTCCGCTGGAACAAAACCGAACTCAGGGACAAAACGCTTTTAAACCTGAGGGTCGCCTGTGACTTCCCCGAAGCAGAAACGAACTCGGGCTAGAGGGTGAGCGTGGTGCGAGAGCGCCGCCTGGACAGGGGCCCCGGGGATGCCCGCTGGTGTCTGCGTGACGGCCCCACAGTGCCGCTCAGCGAGTGCCCCGTGGTGTGGGCGCTGCTCTGGAGTGAGCCGCACACCGAGCCCCGGCGAGCCTCCCCGGGAGCCCGCCGGCCGCCGCGATCTTCACGTAGAGTGGCAGTGCCGTGTGGCGGCAGGAAGGCGGAATTTGTCTCTCTTCTCGGTTTCGACCTCTTCTTACCAGTTGTAAGATTTCTGAGCCCTTTCAAGTTGTCCTGGTGATTGCCCTGGCTGGGTGGCCCAGTTGGTGGGAGAGTCATCCCCGGCACCGAGAGGTTGCCGGTTCGATTCCCGGTCAGGACACACACCTGAGTTGCGGATTCCGTCCCTGGTCGGTGTGCTTACGGGAGGTAACTGATCGACGTTTCTCTCGAGAATCAGTGACGTGTGTGTGTGTGTGTGTGTGTGTGTGTACCCTTGCGCAAGGATGAACAAAAACAAAACCAAAACCAAATTGACTTCGTGATTTACCTGTAAGGTTTCTATTTATAAGTGTGACCCCAGCAACTTCCTACTTCAGGATTTGTTATCAAAATGCATTTAGACATCTTATTTGGTTTTTCTGGCTGATGAACTCCTGGTCCACCAAGGGCCAAATCCGTGGGTATTCCCAGGTTGTAATTAAACTAGACCACAGGCGACAGTTGATACTGGGCAGTGTCTGCAGTCACTGCTACTTGGAATTTGGTGTCCTTATGGGAGGAGCTTAACTCTTGAGCGTAGTGTCTCTCCAACAGGGCTTATGTGTCACCCAGGTAAGAATTACCTGGGGTACTTATTAAAGCGTAGATCCCTGAGCCTTGGCTGTTGTGGCTTGCTTGGTTGGAGTGTTGTGCCATAGCCAAAAAGTTGCTGGTTTGATTCTCGCTCAGGGCATGTACCTGGTCGTGGGTTCGATCCCTGGTCCTGGCACATATGGTCCCCTGGCCGGGAGGAAACCCACTGATGCTTCTGTCTTGCATTTATATTGCTCTCTCTCCCTTCCTTCCTCTCTAAAAGCAATGGGGGGAAATGTCCTCAGGTGAGGGCAAAAAAGAAAAAAGCAGATTCCTCAGCCCCAAATTCAGTTCTGGAATGCGTCCAGGAAACCGCGTCTCTAACAAGCATCCCAAGTGATTTTGACGGACTCTCAAAGCCCACTAACTTCCGGTTCAGCTTATCCAAAGAAAAACAAGTAGAAATGAAGAGTATGTTTTAATATGGCTGCAGACAACATATATTTATTGGCCTTTTGAACTTGGCCACCTGTGTCCTGCTTTACCATGGGACCATGGCAAGGTTATTATTATGTTTTGAGTATCCGCATTTTCATTTGTAAAGGAGGCTAATACTGTTTGTCTCGCAGAGTTGCCGTGAGGGTCAAAACCACAGGCTGGCCTAAGGTCACATTTAGGGGGCGGGGTTTTGGGTCCAGGCAGATATGGGCTCGCATTTCAGTTCTTCCCTGGTTTTGCCTCTTGCAAGCTGTGTGAGCCCGAGCCAACGGCCCGGCCTCCGTTTCTGCCCCTGTGAAATGAGGACCAGGGAGGGAGTGTGTCTGACCGTGTGTGCAAAGGCACGCGGCTCTGTCTGGCGGATGGCCGCGGCGACGGCCTGTGTCCGAGCGCAGCCCTGGAGGCAGAAGCGGGGAGACGCAGGCAGCGGGTGCAGCCACGCTCGGCGAGCGGGCTGCCTTTCCGCACCTCCGGTCGCTGCAGCCACTCCATGCCGTAGAGATCTGTGTCGTGGAGCTTGAAGGTCAAGCTTGCCCCGACGGCCCTTTCCTGTAGCCAGTGACGGGAGCACCTGCTCTCCAGGTGGAGAGGTGACCCGTGGTGCAAACTCGGTGTGGACCTTAGGGGCTGTGACCTCACCAGCTGTACCAGCCTTTAGGCACTGAGAGGACAGTCGAGAAGAAATACTGTGCCTTCAGTCCTTTTTCTGAAAACAGTTTGTCCGCTTCTTAGATAGGTGGCTTGAAAAATGAACGTAATCTTAGCCAAAACCCAGGCAAGAATCAGAGGTAGGGTAACGGGCTTGGCCCCTTCGTCCAGGTGCTGTGATGCTGTGACGGTCGGTCCAACCGGTGTCGGCCTCCTGGTGCCTCCGCCCCACACCTCCTCGGAACTCCTCTTCGAGAGCGTGTGCGGGGGTGGGGGGGGGGATTGTCCACGCACCCCGGCTGCGGTCGTCAGCAGAGCTCCGGACTCACCGTTCACGGCGCGGAACACGCGGGCTGCTTCGCCTTGCAGGTGGTTTCCTGTGGGGAGAGACGAGCCCATTTCGTCACGCTGTCGTCTTCCCTTTCCCCAGTCTGGCTGCGGCACCGATGAGGAGCCCTCGGAGCCCGTGACGCGCGTCCTGGACCCGGCGCCGCGCGTCCGCGGGAGGAGATGGCCCAGCAAGCCAACGTCGGGGAGCTCCTGTCCATGCTGGACTCCCCCATGCTGAGTGTGCGCGACGACGTCACCACCGTCTTCAAAGAGAACCTCAATTCTGGTGAGCAGGGTGTGCTCCCCTGGAGGGGCTCCCAGTCCCGCTGAGAAGTGGGGGTTTTCATCCCCACCCCTGCACGCACACACAGTGTCTCCACAGCCACCAGTGAGGAGCACACGCTCACCTGTGGGGCTGCTCTGGGGCCGTGCGTTGGCGGCTGTTAGGCGCAGGATGCTGGGACGCGCACAGAGGAGTGCCGTCTGGTGGGCAGCCGCGCGGGCCGAGCGCCGAGGCTCCTGCCCTTCCTTCCGCCCTGACCTCCCTGACTCCGCCCTGCCCAGGGGTTTTGAAGCAAACCCCAGATACACAGTTTACCTGTAAATCGTACGTGATTTTTAATGCGAGAAACGCTTAACCTTTCTTTAATCGGAGGAGAACAATTTAAACAGTACCCAGTTTTGTTGACCAGGTTGGCAAACATCAAATGTTGGTCATAGAAATGGACACTGTGCCCTGGCTGGTGTGGCTCAGCGGAGTGAATACCGGCCTGCAAGCCAAAAGTTTGCCGGTTCGATTCCCAGTCAGGGCACAGGCCTGGGTTGCTGGCCAGGTCCTTGGTAGGGGGCGTGTGAGATGCAGCTCATCAACGTATCTCTCACACATTTATGTTTTTCTCTCTTTCTCCCTTTCCCTCTCTCTGTAAATAAATAAAATCTTTAAAATTTTTTTTAATAAAAAAAAGAAATAGACCTTATCTGCAGGAGAATAAATTGGAGGGCAGCCTTTTTTGCAGGCTCTGTCATCAGTGCACAAACATGTACCATTTGCCCCGGCTGGTGTGTCTCGGTGGGAGAGTTGGCTGTAACCAAAGGGTTGCGGGTTTGATCCCTGGCCTGGGTGCCTGGGGGAGGTAGCTGGTCGATGCTTCTGTGTTGCATCGACATTTCTCTCTCTGGAAAGCAATGAAAAAAAATGTCCTCAGGTGAGGATAAAACAGAAAAACAAAACAAGAAAAACCACTTCAAAACATATACCATTTGCTTGCTGACAAGAATCAGCAGGTAAATGTTTCATTATAGCCTGAAGTGAACTATAGTAAGAAATTGGGAAAAGCTAGGTATCCTCCAGTGGGTGAGTGGTTACCATAGTTATGTGGAGCCACACGGTGGAGAACGGGGTCAGCAGAGAGGAGAGGGGAGCGGGCCATAGGTGCCGCCGGGGGAAGGCGCCCGCACCGCCCCGTTGGAACAGTCAGAACACTCGCACGGGCTGGGGGCACAGGGACGGGTTGTGCGCATGTGCAAGCGTGTGTGAGAGAGAGAGAGAGAGAGAGAGACTGAGATTCCACGGCAGGAAAACCTTTGCCAGGATGTGGACCGGGGTCAAGGGTGTTTCTCTGCGAAGTGGGTTGGGAGGTAGGAGCGAGGAGACTCTTCCAATTGTATGTGCTTTCCTACAGTCTGAATTCTTCACAGTGGACGCGGGTTATTCTAATTAAGAAAGTAATAGGAAAGAAGATAGAATCGTATGTGCTTTTATGGATGCTTAGGCAAATACACTTGGTATTAGTGTTAGACCCAGATTAGCGTAAGGAGGAGACTCGCAGGCTTCGGGTGGCATGCAGAGGAACGTTGTTCTGGATTCTGACAGGCAGCTGTTTGAGGTCACTTTAGGGCGTTAAAGGAAATAGCTACGAGAAGCTGCCCTTTTCTCTGTTTAGACCGCGGGCCGATGCTCGTGAACACCTTGGTGGACTACTACCTGGAGACCAGTTCTCAGCAAGTTCTGCACATCCTGACAACCCTGCAGGAGCCACACGATAAGGTACCTGCCGCGGGGGGAGCGTCCCCGCGAGGGGCGCCCACCGCTCGCTCCTCACGCACGCCGTGCCGGCCGGGCGCCCGCTCCTCCGGCGCTGCCCGCCGCAGAGGGTCTCACGCGCAGGTGACCAGCACACGTGCAGAGCCCCGGCAGGACCTCCCTTTCCAGGACGGCTTACAAAACGAAACAAATTTCAGAGGCTTGCTAAGATCCCGCTGTGTAAAGAAACAGTGCCGGTTTGATCCGTGAAGGGCCCCTTGTCGAAACCACCCGGCGAACGGGGTTTTCAGCTTCTCATCGGTCTGGGAAAACCCTGCGTGCAGTGACCGAGGGGAGCCCTGTGGAGGAGGCCTGTGTCCCAGCACTCAAGGGTCCTCGTGTTCTGCTTTTCGTTTTGCTGGTGGGAGGTGGCCAGCGGCACTGTAGTGGCAGGCATTGCGACGTCTTGAGTTCCTGTGCTGGTGACTTCACCAGAACTGGAAGGCCTTGCCATTGTCTGCCTTTCACAGTGTCTTGTTGTTTCACCCTGGGCCGAATGTGAACTTCTGCTACTCCCTGACCGATATGTGGGGCCCGGCCTTGGTGCTGGGCTACCGTGGCAGGAAGTGGCTGTCTCCAGCAGGGTCCCCTCCCAGCCCCAGCCACGGCTGTGGGCTGGGGACCTGTGGTTGTGGCAACAGGTGGCCAGTTGGTGCTTCAGAAAGGGGGTCCGGGAAGGAGTGTTTTCCAGGCCTGCCGGGGGAGGTGGACCCTTTTCCGGGGAGGGCAGCCCGGCTGCCCTCTCTCAGGCCAGACGCAGCAGTGTTTGGTCCGCCAACATGGGGCACACATTCTTGAGTGGGATCCAGTGCCCGCACAACCCTCGTTCCGCACCAGGGAAGCCGGGGGGCGGGTCCATGGCTGTCGCCTGTGTTTGTGTGAGCCTCCTGCGTTCGTCGAGGGTTTGCTTTACTGAGACGCCTTTCCGTTCTCTCACATTCTTAGCACCTCTTGGACAAGATGAACGAGTATGTGGGCAAAGCCACCTCTCGGCTGCCCACCCTCTCGCTGCTGGGGCACGTCATCCGGCTGCAGCCGTCCTGGAAGCATAAGCTCTCTCAGGCTCCGCTCCTGCCTTCTCTGCTGAGATGCCTCAAGGTACGGTGGCGGCAAGGGCTCGCGCGAAGTGGCTTTGTGCGCGTGGTCCCTGAAGTGCGGAGTCGCTTCCAGCGAGCGAGCAGCTAGATCTGAACTTGGAGAGCCTGAGAACTTCCAGGCACCTGGTGCTTCTGCCTGAACGCCAGAGGCGGGACTGAGCACCTTCGCGGGGCGCCACTGTTGAGTGGCTTTTGTCCGAGCGCGGCTGGCGGTGCTTCACTCTCAGCCCTCCTCGGTTCCATCCTCGCTGACCTTCCCTCCCTGAACACGCGCTGGTTTGCCTTTGGGAAACCCCACCCCCACATGCCTCTCAGCTCCGGGGAACGGGGCCCAGAAGGCCCTCCAGCATTTAGGGGCGTGCCTGCCCACAGCTGCAGTGGGGGCGCCTGCTGAACTGCACCCTGCCTTCTCGCCCTGCCCTCAGGTTTCCTACGTAGTCCAAGCGTAGAACTACATAGAACCTTCTGGCCTGAGTGCTGGTAGCGGCTTGCAGAACTACTCAGGGCTCTTCGCTTAATCTGTTTCAGTTCCTGGAATTATTTCCGATCTGTGAAGTAACCAAACGTGGTTGAGAGGAAGCGCCTGCCCCTCACAGAGCCATGGAGAAACCCAGTGGCGCTCACTGTGCACGGGCAGTGCCTTCGGACCCGTCCGAGACAGCGCCCTGCGGAGGGTGTTCCTCTCTGCCAGCAAGGGAACTGGGTGCTTTGTGACCCCTAGAGGGGGTCTCACGGTGTCACTAGAGAGAAGGGAAGGGAAGGAGAAAGAGGGAAACATCAGTGTGTGATTGCCTCTCACATGGCCCCCAGTGGGGACCTGGCCCTCAGGTACTGGGGCTGCGGGGACAGGGAGAAGAGTCCGAGCGAACCTCTCGCCCGAGAGCCCTGGTCACCCGCACCTGGTTGCGCGCATGCTGCTGGGCCTAGTGCCACCCCCGACAGGTCACCTGGCCCGCCCCTCCCTGTGCAGGTGGACACTGACGTCATCGTCCTCACGACCGGGGTCCTGGTGCTGATAACCATGCTGCCGATGATCCCACAGTCAGGGAAGCAGCACCTGCACGACTTCTTTGACATCTTCGGCCGCCTCTCGTCGTGGTGCCTGAAGAAACCAGGTAGGGGTCTCCTCCTGCGCCTGCCGTGCCCTGCCTCGCGGTGCTCTCGTTACCGATGAGCAGGGTGCACGGGAGGGACCTGCGAAGGGGTGTTGTCCGGAACCGGTGAGGAAGCAGCCTGATGCGTCCGCCCGCCGTGGGCAGGAGGGGAGGCACGGCCGTGGAGGGGCCTTTGTTCTTCTGTTGGCTCCGAGGGCTGGTGGGAGGGGAGGCCTGACCTTCGGGGAGCTGAGGGTGGCGTCGGCCTGTGCAGCGGGAGGCCCGGGGTGAGTGCCCTGGGGACGGTCCTGCCGCCCCCTCCAGTCCGCTGGGACGGAGTGCAGCTCTGGGGTCTGAGCGCCTGCTTGGGGGTGGGCTGGAGTGGCGCGGAGCGTGCAGAATGTCCCGTGCGTCCTCCCGCTGCACGTGCAGTGGGTGTTCCCCGCCTCGGCAGGTGGCGCGGCTCTGCTGGAAAGACGCGGAAGCTGTTAGCGCGTGAAATTCAGGCTCTCGGTCACCCCACGCGCGATGCTCACGCCGACAGGGAGGGCGGGTGTGTGAGCCTGTGAGACAGGCCCGCACGTGCCGGTCACGTGGGCAGCGCCGCCTGGGGGCGGGGCGGCCTGCCCGGACAGGGAGGGGTGGTGTGTGCACGGGGGACGCGGGGGTCTCCCCTGGGCCCAGGCCCGGCCGGATGGAGCGAGTTCTGTCTCTTGCGCTCATAGCTTGCTTTAAAGCTGGTTTCGGGGTATAGTTTCCTCACTCTGCAGTTACAGACTTGCATAGCTGGGAGACTCCATGCTGACTTTACAAGGTTCTCACACGCTGGCTCACAAATGTCTAAACCTGGCCGTGCACCCGCACCGTGCGAGGCACCGAGAGTGCAGACGTGAGAGAGACAGCGCCCTGCTCAGGGAGCGCATGCCGAGCAGGGCGACGGACGGGGGACCAGCAATGTCAGGGACAGCGACCGTCATTACAGAGGCAGCTCGCGTGGTGGGAATGCCTGGGGTCCTCCGGGAGGCATGGCCAGGGAGGAGGGCGGAGACGGTCAGTGAGAGCCTCCGGGTCCCTCAGAGTGGGCCGGAGTGCATCCTGAGGCCACGGGGAGCCCCCATGGATCTGCACCGGGGAGTGTGCTGAGCTTGCATCCGCGTCGCAGGCCGCCTCCCTCTCCGGGGCCAGGTGGGGCGGCCCGCGCCAGCCTCGGGGCCGCGTCTGTTCGGCGCCCACCGGTCTCGTGTCCGGCTCCGAGTCTCCCCTCGATGGCTTCCTCTTTAGGCCACGTGGCGGAGATCTCCCTCGTCCACCTCCACACCAGTGTTTACGCTCTCTTTCACCGCCTCTATGGCATGTACCCCTGCAACTTCGTCTCCTTTCTACGCTCGCACTACAGCATGAAGGAGAACTTGGCGACCTTTGAGGAAGTGGTCAAGGTACGTGAGACGTACCTGGGCAGACAGGCTGCGTTTGCAGCTTCTCTGTTCAGTGGTAGGCGGGGCATTCGGAAAAGAAATTCTGCCTTTCCCCCCGACTAAGCCCCCCAGACCACGGCCCCCAGACCACGGCCCCCTCCCCAGCCCCAGGCCCCCGCTGGTCTCCCTCCTGCCTTCAGAGAGACCTGCCGGTCCCGGACGGTTCTCCCAGACGGGGCCCTGCACCGCGGGTCTCCTGTGCCCGGCCTCCCTCCCTCGACGCGGTGTCAGAGGCCCGTCCGCGGCCCACGGCCCGCAGCAGCACTCGTGCTCGTGGGTTGTCCGGGGGGTTCTGTTGTGGGCAGACAGCACCGACGCCAGGCCTTTCACCTGCCCACTGACCCCTTCCAGCCGATGATGGCGCACGTGCGGATTCACCCGGAACTGGTGACCGGGTCCAAGGACCACGAACTGGACCCTCGGAGGTATGCACACCTGCCGGCGGCGGCGTTACTCTCAGGACCTCTCGGGAGGTGGAGCACGGGGTCCTTGCGTGGTCGGGCTGTGGTTTCCCGTCCGAGGGAAGCATCTTTCGGGCTGGACTCTGGGCCCCTCCTCTCTTCCCTTCCGTCTCAAGCCGCACTGGGCTGAGCGTCGGCGCGCGCCCTGGGGGGTGTCTGTGTCCAGGAGCCGGGTGCCTGGGAGTGGAACGGCGGCTCCCGCCGCAGGCGCCCGTAGACGGCTCTCTAAATGTCCTCGCGGGCTTCCTCTGGGGCTGCGGCCGTCTGGGCCGCGCGGTGGTCTGGGCGCGGCTGGGAGTCCGAGGCGTGGCGGGGGACGCTGGGCCAGGCCTGCCGCGCGGTGGCCTCCAGGGCTCCCTGTTCCTCAGCCCCTCGGTCCTCGGGTCTCCCCCAGCGGCCGGTGTGCACGGTTCGTGCTCTTACGCGGCTGTGCCTGGTCTCTCGTGGGTGGCGTTTTTCTCTCCGACTAGCTTCTGGTGACTTGGTGCAGCCATTGTAACTAGGAAGGACCCAGGCGTGTGGAACTAAGGGCTAGTCTCTGACGGGCGTCCTTGCGCTGGGGCGGTCCTGCCTTGTTCCCGGCGGCTCGCGGGTCCGTGGCTGGCTGCAGTCAGCACTCCTGCCCATGTCACTAGTGAACGGGCCACAGCCTGCACTTCTGGACGCTCTTTGCCTCTGACAGGTGGAAGAAGCTAGAAACCCACGATGTCGTGATCGAGTGTGCCAAAATCTCGCTGGACCCTACGGAAGCCTCGTACGAGGATGGCTGCTCCGTGTCTCACCGCCATGCAGCCCGCTGCCCCCGCCACCCCGCCGAGGCCCCCGCCAGCCCTTACGCCGACACGCCGAACAGCTACGGTACGGGGCGGGGGGGGGGGTGCTGCTCTGCGCTGCCCCTTGGCTGCTGGAGAGCAGCGTGGATGTTCGCTGACTTGACTTTTCTCCACCTGGAATGAGACTCAGTTCGGCTCCTAGGAGTTGTTTCCCAAATGTTTAAAGCTTGAATTTGCCTCCATTTTGTCCTGACCAGTTCCTCTTTCCAGTGTAGTGTAGTCCCAGGTCCATGATCCCTCCCCAGTGGCGGAAGCGTGCCATGCCTTCAGTGCTAAAAACTGAGGGTGGGCGTGAGGCCCCACTCCCCGGGGGCCTTTCTGCTTCCCGGCGCTGCCCCGACGGGTTCGAGGCGGTGGCCGGCCAAGAATCCGGCCGGTGAGGAGGGGTGAGGAGGCCGGGCTGTCTGCGGGCGCCATCCCCGACGCTGCCGTTGGCGCATCTTCTCGGCCCCCCTGAAGCACAGCCGGCAGCGAGCCCCACCGAGCTGCGTTTCCACGGAGCACTCCCAAGTGTCCCTTTGTCCCCACGGGCGTCCTGAACACAGAGCACTGAGTGCCCTGGGAGGTCTGGAGCACTGCACTTCTTCCCAGAACAGCCAGAGGGCGCTCACCGGCGCTGCACACTCTTCCCCTCTCCTTGCAGGGAGTGTGACTTCCACCCCTCGCTCCGAGGCCCGGCCCACGTCGTCCAGCACGCCAGGGCAGCTACCTCCGCCCCTGAGCCTCCCTGCACCCCCGCGGCTGTCCACGGAGCCGCCGCAGGTACGGTGTCCAGTGGTGTGCCCGCTTTTCCCCCGCTCGCGTGGAAGCTGACCAGTCGAGTCAGGATTTGGCATATGGTCTGGGAAGATCTCACGCTGCTCGTTCCAGGATGAGTTATTTTGAAAAGTATATCGACAGAACTCACTTGGGTCTCTCTTAGGGTCTAGACTTAGAAAATGCAACCTGTCTTTTGGTGAAGCTTTGGCGAGGTGCCCTCTCCAGTGTGGAGGACCGTCAGTGGTGGGTGTGACCCTTGGGTGACGCGGTGTTCGCCCCGCACTGCTGACGCGCCCCGTTGCCTCCCCAGGCCGCGCTCTGGAGCCCGTCCGTGGTGTGTGGCATGACCACTCCTCCGACCTCCCCTGGAACTGTCCCTCCCGACGCGTCACACCCTTACAGCAAAGTCTTCGGTATGTGTGTCCTAGGTGGGGTTTGGGGGGGTGGGTTGGGCCCGCCTCCGATGACCAGGAGTGGTCTCGTAGATCTGACAGTGACTTTGGGGGCCACTTGCAGTGGTGACCCTCATGTTGACACTTAATGCAAACCTCTGGGCTTCCAGAACATGTAACGTGAACCAAAAAAAAAATAAAATAAAAAAGACTGACCCAGCGCCGGCTGCTGTGGCTCATTGGACTGAGCCCCAGTTTGCGAACCCGAGGGTCACCTCTTCGATCCCCGGTCAGGGCACATGCCTGGGTTTCGGGCCAGGTCCCCATTAGGGGGTGTGTGAGAGGCAACTGAGCTGTTTCTCTCACATACCAATGTTTCTCTCCCTCTCTTTTTTGCTCCCTTCCCCTCTCTCTCAAAAGAAATACATAAGGTTAAAAAAGAAAAAAAGATTGGCCTAGATCCCCAGAAAATTAACTCGCGCTTCTTTCTTCGCAGTAACCGGTGGGCTGGGAATAATGCGGCTGCTTTTCTAGCGATGGGGCTCAGTGACCGCATGTTCTGTCCTTGTCTCTGAGCAGGAGGAAGAGGGACGCCCCTGGGCACCCCCGCCACCTCTCCTCCTCCGGCCCTGCCCTGCCACGCGGACGACTTCGTGCACGCACCCCTCACCCAGTCCTCAGCCGCGCCCCCCCGGAAGGTACGCTCGGCCGCCCGCGGCCCACACTGGGGACTGCTCGCAGACCCGCCTGGCGGAGCCCGTTGTGCGAGATAGGACTCGGGCCTGAAAGGGGCGGGTTGGAACCAGGACGTCTGAAAACAGACTCACCAGCAGGTCTTCACGTGAGGTCAGCTGACTCGGGGGTCCCGGCGCCCTTCTGGGAACCCGCTAGGTCAGAAGTCCTTCCGCTGCAGTCCTGAGCTGTCCCTAAGCTGTCGTCCGTCCCCCGACTGCCCTGGGCTCGAGGTGGAGAGACAGTGGCGGGTGAAGAGCCGGCCCCCAAGCACAAATCCCGGCAGGCGCCCACCTGCTTCCTTGACGTGTTCCAGGGCAAAGGAGGACGGCAGACTGACAGAGCTAACTTGGACGTGTGTGCTGTAGGGAGCAGTGGAAGTTACTGGTTTGATTAAGTCCCAGCCCCGGGACCGTGTGTGAGATCTTCTTTCCGGTACGGAGGAGCACACGGCCAGCGGGTCACTGCTCAGCGGCGTGGCGGAGATGCGGGCCCGCGAGGCCATTCCCCCTGCTCCCCCCCGCAGCGCAGCCCACTGTGGAGGACGGCTGGGGGACAGACTGTGGTCGTGCAGACCTGAGTATGTGTCCAGCAGCTACTTTCTTAAACGATGGACTGAGCCTGTCCCTTCAAGACAAGCGGCGGACAGCAGTGGCTGCAATGACGATATTCACTTCCCGATGAAATTGGGGCATTGAAACACTGGCAGCTGCCCCCACAAGCTCGGTAGCGCCCCCCAGACTCGCAGGATGAGGCTGGAGTGTCTCGAGAAGCTTGGCTGGGAACCTGAGTTTTCGGTGCTGGACAGTGAAACCCTTCAACCCGTCCGTATAACCTGGCGAACCTAAGTGACACATGTAGTGCTTTCTAGATGCCCTGAGCGTGGCGCTGCAGCGCCTGCGCAGGCGAGAGGCGCGTTCCGGGCACGAGGCAGGCCAGTGGGTGGTACGCAGTGTGAGAAGTGAACTGCTGTGGTCCCAGACCTCACTTCGTAATCACCGTTTAAGAAATAACCCGGGGTCAAGTTCGGATGTGACGTCAAAGGTGGTTGTCCACAGTCATCTGAAAAATCTGCTGACACACCTTTACCACCGCTCACCCGTGGGGCCCAGGGTGCTCTGGCTGCGCGTGAGCCAGAATGTGCCGTGCTGCCGCAGACTGAGGGGGGCGGGGGCGGAGGCCCCGCCGCCTTCCGCCACGGCCGGCCGCGTGGGGACGGTGGAGGCGCGGAGCAGCTCCACGCTCCCGGCTCCTTTGTTCTTGGTCAGGGAGGTAGAGGTGGGGGTTTTTTTGGCTTTTGTTTAAAATAAAAATATGTGGTGTTTATGTTTACATGTAAGGGGGTTGTTATTTTTAAGTGAATTAATGACCTTTAAAATTTCAATTTTAATGCAGTAACTATCGCTAGATAAAACCACATAAACAAAAGCTCTTGGGATTCTCATTAATTTTTAAGACTATGAAGGCATCCTGAGACCAAACAGTTTGCAAACCCTTGGGCTAACCGTTCAGCTCCTCTCTAATCTAACAGTGTGGACAGGTGGGCTGTTCCTCTTACGTCCGAGGACACGCACCCAGCTCTGCTGTGGGACGTAAGCGGTGCCTGTCTTTGCAGGAGGAGAGACCGGACCCGGCCCGGCCCAGCCTGCACAGACAGCAGCACGTCCCGAGCGACCGAGGGCCAGGTACAGTCCCCCGGGGCCGGGGACCACGGGCCTCGCCTGCCGCCTCCGGGCGGGCCGTGTGTGGACACGGGGGCGGTCTGGGAAACTGCAGGGCCCGGAGGCCCGGAGATAAGTCACCAGACCAGTGCTTCGTCCCGAGAGCCAGCCTAACAGCGACCGCAAAAACCGCTTTCAGCCGCCTACGGTGCCGTGCCCGTGTGTTGAGCTGGCCGGACTGGCGTTACCTGTGCTCTGAGCGTTGAGAATGGAGAATTTTGCGTTCTGTGGGGGTAGTTTTCTGGCACCTTTACTCGGGTCACCGGTGGAGTGTTAGCTTTGTCCTGTAGCCCCGGGGGAGCGGCCCGGCCTCCCGCACTGTCCTGCAGGGGGAGCCGAGCGGCCCCTCCGGTGCGGCGGACGCCGTGCCGCTGGGAGGGTGGTGGCGTGGTCTCTGGTGCGCTGCTTGGACTTGCGTTGTCTCGGTTCCCCTTTAGAAGAGCTCTCCGGCAGCAAAGGCTCGGTCACTCTGAGTGACCTCTCGGAGTTCCTGGGCGACCTGGCCTCTGAAGAAGACAGCATCGAGAAGGACAAGGAGGAAGGTACGGGGTGTGGGCCCCGGGGCTCACCGTCAGCACTGCCGGGCTCCCCTGGCTTTTCTTCCCAGGGGGGAGGGGGAGGTTTCGGTCTGGGTCCACTGCCAGGGGGCGGGGTGCTGCTTTGGCTCCGTCCTTCCGGCCCCGCCCAGCCTGCCCCAGGTGGCCTGTTTACCGTAGTGTCTCTTGTCTCCCTCCCTCCTCTCAGCGGCGATATCTAGAGAGCTTTCTGAGATCACCCCGGCCGACGCCGAGCCCCTGGTCCCTCGAGGCGGCTTTGACTCTCCCTTCTACCAGGACAGCCTCCCGGGCTGTCCGAGGAAGACCACCCCTTCCACCGCCTGCGGTGTCACGGGTGCCTGCGTGCACCCCGAGCCCTTCAGCGCCTCCCTGGACAAGCTGGGGCCTGACACCCCGAAGCAAGCCTTCACTCCCATAGAGCTGCCCGGCGCGGGTGCCGACGAGGGCCCCGCCGGGCCCGGGGGGCGCCGGACCCCCCTGGAGACCAGTATCGTCACTCCCAGCCCTTGCAAAATTCCGCCTCAGCGGGGCCCGCGCCTGGGAAGTGGGCAGCCTCCCCTCTACGACCATCTTTTCGAGGTGGCATTGCCAAAGACTGCCCACCACTTCATCAGCAAGAAGACCGAGGAGCTACTCAAGAAAGTGAGAGGAGGCGCAGAGGGAGACTGTGCCCCCTCTGCCTCCCCGCTGGAGATCCTGGACAGGCTCATCCAGCAGGGGGCCGACGCGCACAGCAAGGAGCTGAGCAGGTAAGGCGCTGGCGGGGCCCCGCCCCCTGCGGGGTCGGCTGTGGTGGGAACCCAGAGGGCGGGGGGTGCAGGCGGGCCGGGCCCTCACCTAGAGGCCAGGCCGCTGCTCCTCCTGTTTGGTCACCTGCTCCTCCGGCCTGTCGCCGTCTCTCACTCGTAACTGTGTCACGCACGTTGAACTGGACCACTCCTTATACAGTGTTTCATTTTCACGTGAGTCTTTACGTGTAGGCTGGTGGGGCCACCGCGCCGTGGGGATGTTCAGAGGTTTCACACTTGCTCTCAGAGTTTGAGGGTGAGGTGGTGGTATTTCAGATGTAGGGACATCGGTCGCAATGCCCTTCTTTGTCTAGCTGCAGGTGGCCGGTGACAGGTATGCAGGCGCAAGATAAAACCCAGCCACCTTTCAGTGCAAGTTCAGGGCGGTCCCCTGCCCTGCGGGTGGCACACGTGGTGTCTTAGAAATCTGTCAGATGCACGCCTTTTGTTGGTAATGCTCACCTAAGGACGTGTTCATTGACTTCAGAGAGAGAGGAGGGGGCAGGGAGAGAGGGGGGAAGTACTGACGCGCGAGAGAAGCATCCATTGGTTGCCCCCTGTACGCACCCTGACCAGGGATCGAACCCGCCACCTGTTGGTGGATGGGGGCGGTGCTCCAACCAGCTGAGACGCCCGGCCAGGGCCCAGCCTTTCTTTTATTACCCTTTTCAAAGGGGTAGGGGAAGTTTGAAACCATTCCTCAACACGTTCTTGGGGAATGTTAGTTTTTGGTTTTCTTCTCTAAGTTAACCTAAGGTAGGATTTGGCAGAAGTTGTGAGAGTTAAGATACCTTTTCACGTGACATTTGGTGTGATGGGCCCAGGTACAGTACCTGCCTTTTCTTCAAACTCGCGTGACAGGAACGTCTCCCCCAGAGCCCTTCCCCGTGTATTTTGGCAGAGAGGGCGGGGGCCAGGCAGCTCTTGGTGTGCGTTCGCCAGTCGCTGGCGGAGCTGAGCAGCACCCACGGGTGCAGAGTGAGCTCGGCCGTGGGGCCTCTCCACGCCGGGGACTGGGGTCACGCACTCCGGGGCGCTGGCCCCTGGCGTGGCTCTGAGGCTCCTCCACTGAGTCCAGGTGGACTTGGCATTGGAGGCTTCCTTATGCCCCGAGGAAGTGATCTGACCCCGCTGCCATGGGAAGTCCACGTACTTTGTGCTGGGTAAGGTCAGTAACTGTGTTCTTCAACGACTCCTTCCTAGGTTGTCTTTACCCAGCAAGTCCGTCGACTGGACCCACTTTGGAGGTAAAGGAGTTACTTGAGCCCCACGTGCAGCCCCCGTGGGTCCTGCTTGCTCGCTGCCTTTTCTGTCCGGGAGGGAAGGGGCCCCGCAGGAAGCAGACCTCCCCTGCGCTCCCGTTCCTCTGCGTGTCCGGCCCAGGCCATCTCGGGGGTCTCGCACAGTCAGTGTTTGCTGGTTTTGACAAGTGGCGAAGAGCATGCGCTCCGTGCCCCTGGCAGGGGAGTTGCAAAGAGAGCAGGCCTCCCGCCAGGCTCCCCCGGGCCAGCCCCAGGCGCGGTGAACAGATGAACAGAACCGGGGGAGTTCCTGGGGGAGAGCACACGGGGGGGTGGGAGGGGAGAAGAGGGTCGCTGGGAGTGTGTGCCTGTGGTCCTGGCATGTGGTGGGGACAAACAACGCTCTCAGAGAGTCACCCCACATGGGGCCCTTTGCGACCCTTTAGAGGGAGGTAGGTGGTAAGTGTCGCCCCGTCTCCCTAATGTGTGACGGGTGCTGGGGACCAGGTGGTCATTTGCTGAGTAAACGGCAGGGTGCCCCTCAAAGAGCTGGCTTCTCAAGCTGACGGACCGGGGTGGGCGCCCGAGTGAACGGCGTGTAAACAGCATCTCTGCCGCCCTCCCTCTGCTTTAAAACCAGGCTCTCCCCCCGCAGATGAGGTCCGCACCCTCCGCAACCAGCTGCTTTTACTGCACAACCAGCTGCTCTATGAGCGCTTCAAGAGGCAGCAGCACGCTGTCCGGAACAGGCGGCTCCTCCGCAAGGTGATCAGGGCGGCGGCTCTGGAGGAGCACAATGCAGCCATGGTGAGCGCCGGGGGTGATGGTGGGGGTGGAGGGCACCCGTGGTCCATGACGAGCAGCCCCTGAGCCGGGTCAGAGTTCCTCGTCCTCGCGAGGCTCCCCGGTGGCTCCACAGGCCGCCGGGTCCCTGAGGGTGACACGGGAGCGGCCGCGTCTCTGGGCTCCCTTGTGGATCTTAGAGTCCGTGGGGACAGTGGACTTTTTTGTGCTCGTGATTGGCTGTGATGGCAGCAGGGTTAAAACATTTCATTTGTCCAAATACGCAGCCAGCTCTCCTGAAGCCACTCGGTGGCCCAAACCCTGGGGCGCAGTTGTGAAGCCACAGGCTGGTTGGGAAGCTGGGCCTTGGCTCTGCGACTGAGGGACGTAGCCTCCCGGAGCCTGCCGCTGGCCTCTAAGACAGAGGGACAGCGGTGCTTGCCGAGTGCCTGGCTCAGGGCGGGCGTTCCGTGGCGGTGGGATTCTGGAGGTATCGGGAGCAACTCGGTCCCTGAGAGAAGTCTTTTAGGCAACTTAACGTCCGTTTGCTAGTGTGACACTTGGCAACCCTGGAGCTAAAGCCAGGTTGGATAGGAGGGACCGTCAGGCCCGCGCTGGAAGGCAGCTGACATGATGACATCTTTCGTCTCTGCCAGAAAGACCAGCTGAAGCTACAGGAGAAAGACATCCAGATATGGAAGGTCAGTCTGCAGAACGAGCAAGCCCGGTACAGCCAGCTGCAGGAGCAGCGGGACACAGTGGTCAGCCAGCTGCACAGCCAGATCAGGCAGCTGCAGCACGACCGGGAGGAGTTCTACAACCAGAGCCAGGAGCTGCAGGTACGCGCTGCAGCGCCCGCAGCCCACGCACATGGGGCCCGGAGCCCCTTGCCCGTGTGGCCACCGCGAACTGCTCTTGTCTCGGAGGCCACGCCTGCCGGGTCTCTGGGCAGGTCCGTTTCGTGTGGAGTGGAGGCTCCCGGCGCCCTCGGCGTGCCAGTGACTGTACCCCGCCCCCCGCAGTCAGACAGGCGGCTGGCACTTCTGCCAGCCAGGTAGACCCGAACAGTGCAGGGAGTGCTGTCCTGACAGCGCAGCGCCCATCTGAGACACCGTGCGTCAGTTCAGACGTTTGGAAGGACACGGCCGCTCACCAGTGCTGTTGTGGGCGCGCCTCTTGGGCACTGCGCAGCCTCGGACCCCAGAGCCGCCCGCACGTCCGGTCTCGTGGTGGTGGTGGTGGTGGTGGTCCCCGGTGTTTTTATCCCACTGACCACAGAAGCTCAGCTTCGCAAGGGGGCGACGTCATCCGTGGGCAGGGATGTGTCACACTGAACCTGAACGACCTCCAGCCAGTAGTGCACGTGACGACCAACAGATGGCGCTGTGTTCCCCTCAAAAATAAAACATCCCGTAGCAGCACCCTGGGGTTTGCTGTGCAGCCCCAGGGCTCTGGGTGCAGTTTGGGAAGCAGGGGTCCGAGGCCTCTTTTTCCCCTTGTTAGACACTCAGAAACCCACCGTAACTTACTTTAAAAAAAAAAACAAATAGTTTCTATTTATTTTTAGAGAGGAGGGTGGGGAGGAGAAAGAAAGGGAGAGAAACATCGGCCCACCACCCAGGCATGTGCCCCGCCCGGGAATTGAACCACCAGACTTTCAGTTCGCAAGACAACACCCAATCCCCTGAGCTGCACCAGTCGGGACCGTGACTGACCTTTAAAAACTAAGAATGAGTTCGCGGCGGCCCACTGGGGAACGAGGCCCCGGGGGCAGCCCGCCCGCCAGTGCTCTGAGCTGAGGTGTCTCTCCGGGCAGACAAAGCTAGAGGACTGCAGGAACATGGTGGCGGAGCTGCGGCTGGAACTCAAGAAGGCCAACAGCAAGGTGTGCCACACCGAGCTGCTGCTCAGCCAGGTGTCTCAGAAGGTAGGAAGCGGGGGCCGGGGCTGTGCCCCGGCGGGCGGTCTTCCTTCAGACGGGGCTGGCGTGTCCCTGTGTGTCTGTCGGGGGTTCCCAGCAGGGAGTGAGTCCGCTCCTGCCCCCCGGGGGGCAGTTGGCCGGGTTTAGACGTGTTTCTGGTGCTGTTAACACGGAGCGGGCAGGTGCTGGGGGCGCTGCTCGGCTCCTGCGTGCACAGGGTGGCCTGCCGGCAGGGAAGGCCCACCTGAGCCCTCGCCCCGCGGGTCCTGGGAGCGCCTGCCCACACCTTCGGCGTGCGGAGGAGCCGAGTCTGTTCAGGTGTTGGAGCTGCGGTCCCTCTCTGTGTGGGACTCACTGTGCAGCTGGCAGTCACGTGGTCAGGAACAGGTGGGCCTCCCCTGGGGCTCGGTCCCGTGGCCTGAAGGTCCCTGCTGGGTCCTGCCCGTGGCCCTCTTCCAGGCGTCCTGGCGCAGCCCCGTGGTGCGTTGCGCTGGTGCCTCTCCCCTTCGCCGGCACAGTCCCGAAGTGCTGCTCTGTCCGTGTTCGTTGTTGCCCCGAGGCCTCCCTCCACACCGGCCAGGTCGGGGAGCTTGAAACCGTGGGCGCTGTGGATTCCGCCTCACGCCGACGCTGTGCCCTGGCTGGCTCCCTGTCTGAGGCTCTTTCGGTGCTTGTCCCTGTGTCTCGGTCAGCTCTCGAACAGCGAGTCGGTGCAGCAGCAGATGGAGTTCCTGAACAGGCAGCTGCTGGTCCTCGGGGAGGTCAACGAGCTGTATCTGGAGCAGCTGCAGAACAAGCACTCGGACACCACCAAGGTAGGCCGGGCGCGGGTGCCAGGCCCTGGCCTGTGGGGCCGAGGCAGCGTGCAGGCTGCGTGTCCCGGAGTGGCTCTGCAAGGCATCTGCTGGCGGCGGGCGCCGCGGTCCCCCGTCCCTCCCCGCCTCTCCCCGGCCTGGCGAGCCGAGCACTGCTCACCCGAGCTGCTGCGCGCTTGTTTCCCGGGTTGGGTGGCTTTGAAGTTCAGTCAGGTGTCCTTGAAAGCACCTGAGGGGGACTGGTGCAGAGGAAGTGACGAGAGGGTGGCCCTTCTCCTGCCCCGGCCCCTTTTCTGGGGCGGTGGGGGGAGGAAGGGGGGGGATGTGGAGCTGGCTCCATGTCACGTGACGCTCAGGACCGTGGGTGCACACTGGTGAGCATGCGCCCCTTCCTTCTAGCGCGGAACTGAGTTCCGGCGGATGGTGGTTCAGCCCGCGACAAGGCCAGCGTGGGACGGTCTCACGTTAATTAGTGCTTCCCGGTGGCGCTGAGACAGGAGTTTCGTGTCACTTTAGAAATAGCCTCGGGTGACGTGAGTGATGAGTTGGGAACGGCACTTCAATAGCAGGAGCTCAGATGTGCCCTGTCACCGACTTCCCTGTCATACCCGGGCTTCTTTGTGGGGCTGCTGGCGCCCGCGCCGTGTAAGGCACCCTTTCCGGCCGAATGCAGAGCGCCGTCTTAGAACCGGAGGAGCAGCTTTATAATGGAGCTGCTCCTCGTGTCTCAGCTCCTCGGCTCTGAGGTTTTTATTTCTCAGTTCCGACTCCCTTTGGAAGGAAGGTAAACGTGGGACTCTCTCCGGAATCCATCTTTCGCTTAATCTGGAAGCACAGTGCGTGGCTTGGGAGACAGAGGCAGGAAACAGACCAGCGGGAGAAGAGCGCCTCCGGACAGGTTACTCAGACGTCGGCAGGTCCCTGGCGTCCCCTGAGAGCGGCGTGGCCAGGCGGCCTCTGTGCCGCCCGAGGTTCGAGCACCTGCGCACTCGGGGCCTCTCTCGAGCCCACTGGGCTCTCGGGCTGCTGCACGGTTCACACCCCAGAGCAGGCACCCTCGGCTTCGGGCGGCCACGAAGAGCACTCAAGGGGCTTATCACTAAGGACTTCCATCACCTCACTCCGGGGGAGGTCCTGAGGCAGGGGAGCAGTGTAGGGATGGCGCAGGGAGGCTGGGTCTTTCCGCTGTCACCGCTGACCTGTTTCTTCAACCTGGCCCTCGGGCTAGCGGTGCTCATGGCCGCAGGTGCGTGCCTATGACCTCGGCCGCAGGTGGATGCCACGGTGTCCTGGGGATGGGAGAGTGTCGCTTCCCACAGGGCTGTTTGCAAGGACACCTTTCCCAGGACCCGTCTGTCCGCCGGGCTTCCCACCCTTGCTACCGGCCAGGGTCGTGTCACGTGCTGTCGGTAGCCAGTCCTTGCCTGGTGCCGCCCGGGTTCGCCCCCAGGACCCAGAGCTGAGCTTCCTCCTGCTCGGGCAGGTGCGGGGTGGCTGGTGGGCGGGAGGGCCGGCGAGAGCGCGTGTCCTCCCTAGTCCGGTGCTTTGTCCGTGTCCCCGTCACTCTGCTGTCGCTCAGGACCCAGATCTGATTGGTTCCCTCCCCCGGGCTGACGCCTGGGGCCGGGAGGGGCAGCTGGGATGGGCACGTGGTCTGGCGCCCCATTCAGAGCTTCAGGTGGTCGCATCCCCGCTGGTTCTTCTGGGTCGGCCAAAAAGTCCGTTATGTTTTTTTTCTGTGTGATCGCTCTGGTAGTGCTTAGTTGTCTTCAGCTTCATTCGAAACAAATTTGCTAGGTTGTATTGTGAGAGCTGTGATATCAGCATGCGTTTTAAAAAATCAAACAATCAAAATCGGTGCAGTTTTGTGCAGCCATTTTAATATTGAAGATGGGAGAAAACACGGGACATCTTCGGCATGTTATGTTTTATCATTTCAAGAAAAGTAAAAATGCATCTGAAATGCAAAACGAGATTTGTGTAGCGTGTGGAGAAGGTACCGTGACCGAACGTGTCAGAAGCGGTTTGCAGAGTTTCTTACGCTGTTGACATGTTGTTGGCCACCCAGTTCTCTGTCTGCAGTGGGCTGTCGCATGCACTGGCAGGTGCCTCCCCCACTGGAAGCCAGTAGTGGGAGAGAACCGACGCTCAAAATACCCAAGTCACTGAAGTCGTTGTTGAAAATGAAAAGTGTGCTTTTTATTTTACGGGAAAGAATAACAGACTCTTCTGTCCACCCAGTGCCAGCCGCCCTGGAGGAGGGGCGCCGTTGCAGGAGCCCTCTCCCTGCCCCTCGTGGCTTAGTATCTTCTTTGAAAAACCCACTGTGGCGAATTTTGTTAGGCACGCTTTGCCACAGCAAACGCAGCACCCATCTAACACGTGCTTGTTGGAAGAGGTCCTTCCGGGCCTTGTCTGGGTGTCCGTGTCCGCCGCCGCGGGGTTTCCGCCGGTTCCGTCCAGGGCGGGTTGGCCCCGGGTCCGCAGGTCTGCCTCCCCCGGGAGGCCCACTGGTTCGGCGGCGCTCTGCAGCGCGCCCGAGGCGGGTCTGAGCAGAAGGAGAGGAGTAGAGAGAAGACAGATGGCCCACGGGAGCCCTGGGCCGGGGCGACCCCCGCCGGCGGGCTTCTCGTCCTTCCGCGTGCTGTGAGCGGGTGTCCAGCCGTCCGCGGGGCTGCAGGAGGCCGCTCTGCCTCGTCGCCGGTGCGCGTGGCGGAACTCACGAGTGCGGGGGCGCTGTAATTCACCGACCTCCTCCGTGTCTCCCCGGCGCCAGGCCGGGCAGCACTTCTAGGCTTCTGCTCTTCCGAGTGGGCGGTGGAGATTCTCTCGGGCCGGAGTGCTGTCCGCGTGTGAGATGGCCACCTTCGGGGCAGCGTTCGAGGAAGGGTCCCGGGTCGACGCCCCCGCGAGCCCCCTCCCGCGCCGCTGCGCTGACGCGCTGTCCGGTGCCCGTTACCTGGTTCCCCCGATGGCCGCGGCGTGCCCAGGTGTGCAGCCCCCGACGCCACTCGCTTTTCCAGGAAGTGGAAACGATGAAAGCCGCATGCCGGAGAGAACTAGAGAAGCACCGGAGCCACGTGCTGCAGCAGAGCCAGAGGCTGGACACCTCCCAGAAGCGGGTGCTGGAGCTGGAGTCGCAGCTGGCCAGGAAGGACCACCTCCTTCTGGAGCAGAAGAAGTACCTGGAGGATGTCAAGCTGCAGGCCAGGTAACGGCCGCCGCCGGGAGGGCTCCGCGGCGCTGGGCGGGGTGCGCGGCGGCCTTCCCACTCCGGCCGGTCTGTGTCTTTCAGAGGGCAGCTGCAGGCCGCGGAGAGCAGGTACGAGGCTCAGAGGAGGATCACCCAGGTGTTCGAGCGGGAGGTCTTAGCCTTGTACGGCAGGCTGGAGAAAGACGGACTCCTGAAAAAGCTTGAAGACGAGAAAACGGAAGCAGCGGAAGCAGCCGAGGAAAGGTAGGAACAGGGTTGGCGTCGTAGGGCCTTGTCCCTGATGCCACGGGCAGGGCGAGGGCTGTGTGACGAGGGTCAGAGCTGTCGCAGCCTGATGGGGTGGCCACGGCCCGTGGCTCCGCCCTCCCACAGCCCCGCGTGGTGTCCCCTCGTCTCACCTGCTCCCTTCCGTGGCCCTGAGCCCCTCCTGCAGGGCCCCGGGCAGCGTCCGTGTGCAGGATGGCCGTCTGTCGGCCCTGGCTGTGGCTCAGAAGTCTTCTGACGAGGCCTCGCGCCTGAGTCCTCGGCCGTCCATTGTGGGGCAGCCGGCAGAGGTCCGTGCCGGCGTGAGCGGCCCTGCACCTCCCCCGCAGCGCCACTGTCACCAGCGCCTTTCTCCTCCCTGGGTGTCTTACAGGCTCGACTGTTGTAACGACAGCTGCTCGGACTCCGTGGCAGCGCACAGCGAAGAGGCATCTGGCCGCAACGGTGAGACCAAGCCCCCCAGGCCCGGCGGCACCCGGGGCGCTGGGGGCAGCAGAGGCGGTGGGGGCAGCAGCAGCAGCAGCAGCAGCAGCAGCAGCAGCAGCAGCCAGCTCTCCACCCCGGAGAAACCGCCGAACCCGCGGGCCGGCCCGTTCAGCGGTCGGTGGGAGGGCGCCCTGGGCGAGCCCTCCGCCGGCCTCCCCACGACTGTCGGCTCGCTTCCCAGCTCAAAGAGCTTCCTGGGCATGAAGGCTCGAGAGCTGTTCCGTAACAAGAGCGAGAGCCAGTGCGATGAGGGCGGCGTGGCCGCTGGCAGCCTCTCCGAGGCCCTAAAGACAGAGCCGGGCAAGGACCTGGGTGTGGAAGCCAAGACTCCCCCGCACCCCGACGGCCCGCCCCCGTGTCCCCCGAACCCCGACAGTGTTGGACAGCTCCGCATCATGGACTACAACGAGACTCACCCTGAGCACAGCTAAGGCAGGGCCACCAGTGTTAGCCTGCGTGCGGCGGGCACGGGCCGGGGGCGGGGCCTTCTCAGCGCTCCTGCTCCCGGGGTTTGCGCGGCGGCTCATGCGGCGGAAGAGGGATGCAGGGCCTTTTGACAGCCCACGAATGCAGAACGGTTTCTGGATCTGGCATCGAATTGCCCCATAACCTCCCCCCCCCGCCCCCGCCCCCCGCCTCACAGTTTTCCTAGCAGTGCGCACCAGTCCCGGGCCAGTTCGAGTTCCTCAGCAGCTTCGCCCTCTTCCCTCCCCAGCGGCTGGGCCCTTGAGCCAGTGCAATATGAGGCCGGGTTTCGAGTCTGACGCACCACTCTGCCCCCCGGAGCCCGGGCGGCTGGGCTGTCCGCCAGCGGGGAGTTAGCCAGGCGACAGGTGGCACCGCAGGAGACTGCTGTGCGCCCTTCCCGCAGGAGGTGGCGCGTGAAGCTGGCATCCTCACGTGAAGGACACTTTCACAGGAGACTCCGGCTGCTTCCGGCCCTGAAGGCCGGCGTCTGAAGCAGCAGGCGGGAAGAACGGTGGCGTGGTCCCCTCACGTCCCTCTGGGGTCCCGGTGAGCCTCCCGGAAGGTCTTTGTGAGCAGAGGTCTGTCTGTTGCTGGGAAACCTGGAGCTGGCACCGGGGAGGCCGCCGTCCCCTGGGAGGCCGCCGTCCCCTTCGGGGGCCCTGTCCGCTCCCCCACTACCTCTTATTTATTCGGCGTGTGCTCGAGAACTGGCGCCGTTCTGACCGCAGGCCGGCGTGTGGGGTGGACCTGCCGTGTGCCGGACGGGGGGCGGGGTGGGGAGCGCTCTCCCAAGACACGTGCGTGGACGAGGAGCCGCCCCCCCCACCCGGCCGGCCCCCCGCGGGTCCCAGCGCCGCCCTGGGGGCCGCTCCTCCGTGGCCCTGCTGCAGAGAGGCTCCGAGGGCCGAGGGCTTCCTTGGCGCTCCCGTGGCCCGCGCCACTCGGGCGGTCAGAGCCGCCTCGCTTTGGCAGCATCCCGGCCACCGGAAAGGTGACAGCTTTTTACCCCAGTTCTGACTCGAGGGCCGACTCCCCAAGCAGCGGGAGGCTGCTGCCCTCGACGCGTCGGTGGTGGCAGGGTGGGTTCCAGCAGAGCCCTGCCTCGCGGACGCAGGCTGGCGGCCCGCACACGCTCGGGAGAGGGGACGCCGGGCGGGACACAGCGACGGCAGAGAATCCGACCTCCGCAGACGCTGCTGGAATCAACGCCGGGGAGCCTGCGGGTTCCTTCCTGGTGCGCCAGCGGCAGGCGGCGAGGAGGGACCGGTGGGGGAGTGCCAGTGAGCCGGTGTTCCTCTCTGTCCTCGGCGCTCACGTCTGGGCGGTTCAGCTGGAGGAGGAGGGAGAAGACGCACGTGACGGTGGGGATTCTCTCCTCCTGCGGGAAGGAGCTCCGGCTCGGGAGGCCGAGGCCTCTTCGTTCCAAGCGTGGCGGCGAGTACCTGGCCTCCCTTGCCAGGCGGGGCCCGAGGAGGAGGCTCCACGCCACAGAGGCCACGTGAGCAGGACACCGCCCTGCCCGGGGCAGGGCGTGCGGGCGTGGCCGGCGTGGCTGCGTGCACAGCCTGCGCGAGGCTGTCCCCGGGGGTGGCGGTGCCCTGCCGTGTGTTCCCCGGAGGGCGTCACGCCGCCTGCTCGGTTCCCGTGGGTCCTGAGGAGAGGGAACGCCGAGGACGCTCCGGCCGCCTCGTCCAGGCTCCGAGAGAAGTGGAGCAGACGTCACAGAGGAGCTGCCGCAACTCTTCTGACGTGGACCCTCCCCAGGCCCGGGAGGTCAGGGCCCCGGCGCTTAATCCAAGCCTCGTCCAGAGCTGGCGGGCAGAGGCGAGGCGGCCGTGGAAGGAAAGGACCGTCCCGACACATGCAGGTTGTGAAAATGCAGAGAAGAAGGCCGCGAGGGAAAGTGGGCTGGGGCCCCGGCACGTGCCTCCGGCCTGGCGTCTGCTTGGCTTTCCACCCTGGCCGGGGTGGAGGAGCTGCTGGGCTCCGGCCCGCCGCGGCTGCTGCCCCGGCCTGGGGTCACGTGGGAGTTACCAGCCCACAGCTGGAGGCTTCCGTGTTGCAGAGGGCTCGGTGGTCAGGTTTTGCTTGGCTCTAGAATCGATGAGCCTGCTAAGAGTCAGAAGGCATTTTCCGGGACGGAAAGGTGACTGCGGAGGACATCCCAGGAACCGGACTGGGGACAGGCCAGGCAGGGGCGCGCGGGTAGCACCGGGCTGGTGGGGCTCTGGCGCTCGCACATGCTGCGCTGGGCGGCCTCTGTCCGGAGCCGAGCGCACTGCCTGGCCCGCGCTGTCTGCCCGGGTCCTGGTCCCGCCTGACACTAACCGGGGTCGGCCCAGACCCTGAGAAGATGGGAGACCGCCTCCTGGGCGGCGTGAGGTTTATGGAAGGATCACTACAGCCTCGTCCGGGGGGGGGGCGGGGGGGGGCAGTGTGGTCTCCACGGGGAAGACGCTCTCCTCCACCTGCTGCGGGTCAGCGTGGGTCTGCATCAGACGTGACCTGCGGTCAGAAAGAGCATCGAGCAGGCCCTGCCGGGGCCTGCAGACCGCGCCACGGGCGGAAGAGTGTGCTGGCGCCCGTGAGCAAACTGCCCGGGGCCTGCAGGCCAGAGGGGAAGGCTGCTGCTCGGAGGCCAGGGCTGTAGGGCTCTCCTTGCAGAGGCGGCGGCCAGCCTGCCTGAGAGGGCGGGTGGACGTGACCGCCCTGGGCTTGTCTCAGCTCTTCAGAAGAGAAAACCGCGGAGACCTCGGAGTGAGCGGCTGAGGGTCCCTCCTGGGCTCCCCGAGCAGAGGGAGAGGACAGACGTGCCGCTCTGGGGGCGGGCGGGTCACGAGCGCTGTCTTCAGGGGCGCGGCCCCTGAGAGGCAAGCTGTTCGTGTCCATAGCGGGGTCCCAGAAGCCACTGACCACGGAACAGTCAGCCCACATGCCACCTTGGTCGCCGTGGCCATGCGCTCCCGGGCAGAGAGGACAGCGAGAACCGGAACTCCAGACTGGCCGTCACGCAGCGGCGCTCGGAGTCCCGGCGTTCTCGTGGAGAGCGATGGGAGCCGCGGCCCTGTGGGAGGTGGTAGTGGACGTGCCCACGGCCACGCAGGGGCCTGGCAGCTGGACTGCGGCCGGCGGGGTTTCCGAGAGGCGAGTCTAAGGACCGTGCTCGCACCAGCCCACGGAAGGCCCCGGGCCCTGGGGCAGACCACGGGACGCCGAGGGAGCGGGGAGCAGGTGGGGGACCCGGCGCTGGGCACGCACCGGCGGGCAGCGGGAGGGTGGACGGGCTGCAGCGGGGTTCGGGCTCGGCCCAGAGCCGCAGTGGAGACGGCGTGCCGCCCCGTGCACACGGACGGAGGCCAGCCCTCGCCTCTGCGTGGCCCCAGAGCGGCCTGGGCCTGCCCAGGAGTGGGGGGAGGGCTGCTCGCCGGGCGGCCTGCGTCGGCACCGCGTGCGCTGCTGCGTTTCACTCCTTGAGGTACAGGCTTTAAGACGAGCCGGCAGTGATGCTGGGAAACGCACCTGGTCTGAAAACGTTCGTGTGCTTGTTTACACCCGGAGTTCTGTGACCCCCCCCCCACGAGCTGCTGCAGAGGGACTGATGGCACGCAAGGACGCTTTCCCCTAGCGGCGAGAGGACCGGCTGAGGTCGCGGCCTGGCCCCTGGGCTGCTGCTGTGACCCTTGCCCCAGGCGGCTCTGTCCCCAGCCACGACTCGGCGTGCCCGGAGCGAGCGGTGTTTCCAGCTTTCCCACACCATCCCGCCAGCCACTGGCATGCGCTCCCCAGAGAGGGGCGGCTGCGCTGCACGGGCGCCCACCCTGGACGGCGAGCCCTGCCCCCAGGACCACCGCCGGCCCTGGCCCTGACGGGAGTGGCGGAGGCGGCAGTGGGGTTTTCCTCCCCTTCCCCCTCCCCGGTGCCCCCAACCCACTGGAGTAGCTTGGAGGAGACCCCTGAGAGTTTGAGACGCCCTGGGCCACCCCCGCCTCCACGCAGCGCTTGGACGGGAGGGTGCGCGCTGCTCTGCGCGGCCGGCGCGCTGGCTTGTCCGCGGGGCAGCCGGGCATTTGCACTAGGAAGGATCATGGGCCACCCTCCGGGAGCCCTCCGCGGACCCGACACACGCCCCGGAGGAGCCGGCTCCGCTGCCGTGATCTAGTTTTCGAACCCAATCATGGAGCCCGCGTGTGCGGCTGACGTGCGGTGACGAGGTCCCATCACTGAAAAACAGATTTTTTTTTTTTAACTGGCTGCTTTTAGTTAAATTTCGAAAGGTCATCTCTCGTCAAAAGGTTTAAACCCTCCCGTCTCGATCGTGAAAGCATGTCAAGCAATCCACACCCAATGCCATAAACGTGAACCGCAAGGGAACATGGTACAATCCTAGCGAGTGGGGACTGGAATCGAAAGGGTTTGCTGTCCTTCTTAGAATGTTCTAAAATGTCGAGGCAGTTGCTTGTGTTTAACTGTGAACAAATAAAAATTTATCGTTTTGCACTACTCGGCCGCGCTGCCGCGAAGTGGCTGGTGTGGCCCCGGGGGGACGTGTCCGGAGACGAGGATACGTCAGGGCGAGGGTGAGTTGGTTGCTGCTGGCGCGGGGCGGGGGCTGCTGACGAGTTTCACATCCTCCTCGTTCTGGCAAAACATCGGAAAACGGCCACGGATCCCCGAAATGATCCGCCCGCAGTTCCCGCCCTTTTCCCAGAGTGGCCGGCGGGGGGTGTGTTGTGTGACCCGAGTCAGCGCCCCCAGAAGCCCCTGAAGGCAGGCGGCCCGCCGCGCCTGCGCACACCCAGCCTGAGCGCATGTGGGGTTGCAGGCAGCCCCGCGGGCGGAGCCCCGCGGCACTGAACTTGTGGAGAGCTGACTGACCCTGAGCCGCGCCTGCCGGGTTTGCGTGCGGAGGGGAAGGCGCAGCTGGCACCCAGCACCTCCCCTGCACCCTGGGTGCCCGGAAGGCGGTGGCGAGCTGCCTTTAGGTGACGGGCCCACCCTGGCCTGGCCCTCTCCTGCTTGGGACGCACTGGGACAAAGAGCTCCATTGGCAGCGTGCCTCCGCCTACTGCCCCCCCCCCCCAGAGGGGTGTGCTCTGCCCGTTCCTAGGGTGAAAGCAGCTCCTCTGAGACAAGGACTCAGAGGTGGCAGCTCTGGATTCTGTCTGGAACATTCAGGGGATCGTGTCTGGGCAGGTCTCTGACCCGGGAGAGGCGGCCGCCGGCGGCTGTGCGTCTGGCAGAGCCGCTCGGAAACACCTTTCCTCCGCGCTCAGGGTCAGCGCGGTTCTCTTGAAGGGGGAATCCCAGGAAACCAGGCCAGGCAGACAGGCAATAGGACACTTTTATTCTTGACGGCAGCCCCCGAGGAAGCAAGAGTACAGAAGCTAAGTCGCCCCCTGTGGAGGGAAAAGCCGACAGTCAGATGGCACTCGAGGCAAACTCGGAAGCCAGCGACGCACTGCAGCGCCCGGGCCTCACTTGTGTGGCAGAGACCAGTAATGGTCCCGTCGGGAGCCGCGAGATGGGAGTTCTTCCTGCCGCCGTCTCCCAGATGGAGGGGAGGAAAGGCGGGCTCGTCCCCCTAGGGCTTTGGTCCCGAGACACGGCCACACCGGGGCCACTCTGTGTGCCGGCCCACAGCAGCCCGGGAACGGGGAGCCACCCTGTTTTGCCAGAGCTGCGCGGCCTCCTGGCTCCACGGCTCAGCCTGCAAAGCCAGACCCGCGGCCGGGCAGCCTGGCCGAGGGGGTGTGGGCTGGGAGCTCCACGAGGCCCCGGGCTGGGCAGGCACAGCCCTGGCTCTGCCCCAGCCTCCCCGGGACGCCCTCGCCAGTCACTCCGGGACGGGGGCTGCTCTTCCTCGGCACAGAGTCTGGGCGCCAGGGCGGGGGGAAAGTTAGAAGTTACAGCAAGAGCAGAAGGCGAGGTTCTCAGCAGTGTATTGGGGGTCCCTCCTGGGTTTCCCGAGTGGCAGGGACTGTGGAGGCTAGTGAAACTGGGCCGGCCGGGGGAGGGGGACCAAGAGTGGTGACGGCACCCTGTGGGATGGGCGGGGGACAGGTGCCAGGTCGCTGGAGGTCGCCGGCTCAGAGTCACAGTTTCCCGCCAGGCGGTCTCCAGGGAGGTTTGGGCCCTTTGTCTCTCCCCCGGGGTCTGAGGCTGTCTTTGGGGAGCGGCCTGCACTGGTGTTCTCTTGGCCAGGGCTGGGCGCCTGCGGTCTGGGCAGGCTGGGCGGCGGCGGCGGCGGCCTCCTGGTGCGTCCCGGGCTCACTCACGTGCTGCTGCACTTTGCGGGGCAGCTTCTCCGAGTGCGCGATCCACTCCTTCATGAGGTCCAGCACGAGGGGGATGAGGCTGACCACGCCCCCGTAGTGGTTCCGGGCCTCGTCGCAGCTCAGGTGGTTCACCACGTCGTGAGGGTACCTGTGGGGCCAGCCGGGGCTGGGGGTGAGCCCCAGCCCAGGGGGACCCCCCTCCCCGGGGCGAGCAGCCGCCAGGGCTCGGGCGGGCGTTTTCATGCGGGGCTCCCACCGGAATACCCTGGGCAGGGGTGGGCCCCGTGCACGCGCCAGGCTGGGCGCCCTGCGGGTCAGCGGGTTTGGGGCCAGGAGCCCCGGGCTGCTGTGATGGCTCCAGAGCACGCTGGTGGTCCCCGAGACTCTTGCCGCCCTGCCTCAGCAGCTTCCTTGAGAATCAGGGGGCTTTGTGTGGTGGAGCCCCGGGGGTCAGAATTAGGGAGCCCCACGGGTGGTGCCCACGCCCGCTGCTCTGCAGGCTTCTGGGAACAGCACTCCGGGAGCCCCTCCCTGCACCCCGGGCTAGCTCCTGTGAGAGGCTCTGTGTCCCGCTGTCTGGGTGTTGTGGGCCCCAGTTGTTCCGCTACATCAGGGGGCCTAGGATTTCCCACCAGCCTCGTCAGTCCAGACTCCCCTGCCCTTGGCAGTGGCCCCCACTCCCCCTTCCTCATCTGTCCCTGTCCCACCCCCACCCCACATGCGCAGAGGGAGCCTCGTGGACAGGACCCAAGGGAACAGCGGCCCTCACTCCCCCCTCCTCATCCATCCCTGTCCCACCCCCCGCCCCACATGCGCAGAGGGAGCCTTGTGGACGGGGAGGGGGGGGGCCCCCGAGGGGCCGACCTTGCTCTCAGGCTGCTCAGGTCGTTGCTCTGGCTCACGAGGGTCTTGCACTTGTCCAGGAGGCTGTTGGTGACCGGGGTGCCCGCGTGCAGGGCCTCGAAGTGCAGGCAGAGCTTGCTCAGCTCCGCGCAGAGGTCCAGGAACATGTTCAGGATGCGGTGGTCCGTGGCGTTGCTGCAGTGGTGCTCCGTGTAGCTCTGCACCTGCGGGCCGGGCGGCGCCGTGAGCGAGCGGCTGCGCTGCGGGGCAGACATCCCGGCGCACCACTCCGCCCCCGGAGCCCCAGGCGAGAGACCAGCCCCACGGGAGTGGCGGAACGCACAGGCCCCGCCCCCGCCCCTGTCCCCCCACCAAGTACAGACAGCGTCTGCAGGCCCGGCGTCCCCGCGTCCTGCCCTAACCCCGCTGCGCCTGGGCTGCGTTCAACCCCCGTTGCACAGGTGAGCAGCAGTGGCTGAGAGTGGCGGGCTGGCCTGCTCCGGCACCGAGGCTCCGGGCCCGGCCCTCGCCAGTCCCCAGGGCCGAAGCCAAGGCTGCAGCAGAGGGCTGGCAGTTCCCCTCCCGGATCCCGCCACAGGCCCACTGCAAGGACTGCCGGGCGGGGCCCCCAGACTGAACCCCTTTGGAGCTATTGTCCCGTGGGTCCAGGGCGGAGAGAGGGGAGGGGACAGCTAGGCCGTGGGACTGGGGAATGACTCTGTGTGAGGACGCTAGTGTCCCTCGCACCCACAGACGGGTTGACTCCAGCCGGCGAGGCCCTGGCGCCAAAACCGCACCGACCCCCGGGATGGGGGGCAGGCTGCAGAGCAGGCGCAGGGACGCGCCCTGAGGATGTTGGGTGGGCGCCGGGAGGAGGGACACAGCCAGCCTCCTCGCAGCGCCCTTCCAGGGAGTTGTGGGCCCCCCTAGGTCAGGGGTTTGTCTGTGTCAGAGTGACCCAGCTGACCCCATGACTCTGGATCGGAGGTCAGACAAGGGCGGGAGGCCCAGCCTCGTACTGGGAACTGCCGCCATCTGGGCGGGACGCCTCCACTCTGCACAGCTGGTGGGAGGGGCCCCCTGCCGCCTGCAGCACCCGTGAAGCTCCGAGTCTGAGGCAGGGGTTTCTGCTGGCGCCTGTGTTCCCACCCCACCTGACGTGCTCCTTCCCAAGTGCAGTAGCTCTGCAGGGGGCAGAGGCTCTGACCCCCACCCCCCGACCACGTGTGTCCGTACACCCGCCTGGAGAGCCTGGGGGTGTCGGGGAGCCTGAGCTGCAACCACAACAGGGCACCGTCACTGGGCCACCTGCTGTGTGGGTGACCTTTGGGTGGGGCTGGTCGTCTGCCCGTGGAGGGCGGGCTGAGAGTGGGGAGTCAGCACTTGGGACGGAGAGTCCGACTGGGGGGCCCCTGTGTACCCGAAGCCTCCGCGGGACCTCAGGCGAGCAGGCCACACCCTTGGGCGCAGGAGGGGCTGGGACCCTCGGCGCCGGTGGGCGGCAGGTCCCAGCGCTCCCTCCTGGTGCTGAAAGCCCGTTCGAGCGAGGGCCCCGGCCCGACCCACCTGCCCGCCCGGCACGGCACCTGCTCGATGCTGGCGATGGGCCGGATCTTGTCGTGCGCGTTCTCGCGGCAGTGCTCCAGCGCCGCCACGAAGGTGAACTGCTGCTGCTGGAACAGCTTGTACTTCTGCTCGATGGCCCGGAGGGACCCCTTCGCCTCGTTCATGGTCCCCGCGGCGCTCGCCCCCTGGAGACTGGGCAGGCGTCTGCGGGGCGGGGCGGAAGGGGGGGCGCTGAGGTCCCGCAGCCCCGGGGGCAGGGGCTGCCGTCACCCCCAGCTGGTGGAGAAGGAAACCAGCCCCTCCCCTGCCAGACGCTTGCTCAGGACTGCCCAGGCGGTCCGTGAGCCCGCGGAGCCTGGCCCCAGGCCGCTCTCCCTCCGAGGACGCGTTCTTTGCCACAAAACACGACTCCCTCCTCCTCTCCGCCGTGGACCGGCGCGGTCCTTGGTCCCCCCAGATGGGGTTCACACACGCACCCACACGCACAGCCTCCATATGTGCCTCCTGTGGTGCCAGCGAGAGCCGGGTTCCGGGAAGGTGCCACGGTGAGAACGATCAGTTCTGTCCGCTCGGGCCACGTGGTTTGGGAACCCCGCTGCTGCAGTTTGTGGGGCGAGCTCTGGTGGGCCCCGCGGGTGAGGGGCGGCCCTGGCCTGTGGTTCCCCGGCCCCGAGCCTGGGGCAGGGCCCTCCTCCGTCTCGCACGTTAGTTGCAGGATGATCGTGACTGGGGACACGCGTGCTTCACTGTCCCTGGCGCCGTCCAGGTGTCCACGGCTCCCTTCTGGGCTCTTCCCTCGAGGACATCTTGAACTTGCTGAGCACACGCAACATACTCCAGGTCACAGACTTGGGGCACGTGAGGGTCGGAATCCCAGGAGATCAGCTTCCCTTTACTTCCGGGGGGAACCGGCACCCAGGGTGTCGCAGCAAGCTGGTGCCACAGACCGCCCCTCCCCACCCAGGCCCCGGGCTTCCGGCCGGTTAACCGGCACCCTCGAGGCTGCCGCAGCCGGCTGTCCCTGCACCTCCAGGCACCGCACGCCTGGAGCCCGGACTTGGACACGCCCCCTGCCCGTGAGCAGGGCCCCGGGAGGCTGTGCGGAGGGAGGGAGGCTGGAGGGGGCCGCCCCAAGGGCGGATGTGGGGTCACATGCCAGGCTTCCCAGCGGGTCCCAGACAGACAGGAGCCCCAGCAGGATGGAGCTGGGAGGAGGTGTTTCCTTTGGGCCCGTCCCTCGGCACCCGGAGCCCAGAGCAGGGCAGGGGCCGGGGAGGGCATCTCTGTGGCGAGAGGAGGTGACATCGTGGACGAAAGGAAACGCAAGGACAGAAGAGGGCCAGCCCCTGGGACTCAATGGGAGCAGCCAGTCGGAGAACTTGGCTGGGTCGGGGTAGGGGGCTGCAGAGACGCAGCCTGCGTCCTGGACGAGGAGCTGACAGGCAGCCCACTATGGAGCCAGGCCAGGAGGGGCCCCGACAATCGCCCCCCACAGCCGTGGGCGGGCCCACTGTGAATGTAATGGAGCACACTTCCACAGCAGCATCCCGAGGCCACCCCTGGGTGCCACAGCAGCGGGGCCCGCCAACAGAGCACCTCCCCCATCCGGAGTGGGCGGCAGGAGGGGGGGCCAGGGCGGTGGGGACGCAGTGGGGCCACTGCTTGGTAAACACTGCTGTATCCAGGACCCAGCCCAGGTGCCTCCCCCACCCCCTCCCACCTGGAGGTAGATGCTGCTTTTTGTTGTGTCTCCCCTGGCACCGGCCCCTCCCCTGGCATCAGGCCCCTCCCCTGGCATCAGGCTCCTCCCCTGGCACCGGCCCTGGCAGCCTGGACTAGGGTGTGGCGAGTGAGGCACTCAGCTCGGGGCAAAATTCAGGGGGGCCCCTGACAACTAACTAGGCAATCAAGATGGGTAAAAATACGTAATGCACTACTGTAACGAATAAAAGTTAACGCCGGAAGTCCCACCGAGAACCAAGCAGGGAATTTCGAGTACGCACGGTCGGGGCACAGCGCCGCACCTCGCCGTCCGGGAGCCCGAGGCCGGCGGGCAGCTCGGCCACACTGATCCTTTCAGAAACTTGATTTTTAAAAAATTTTTTAAAGATTTCATTTATTTTTAGAGAGGGGGAGGGAGAAAGAGAGGGAGGGAAACATCAAAGTGTGGTTGCCTCTCACGCGCCCCCTACTGGGGACCTGGCCCGCGACCCAGGCGTGCGCCCCGACTGTAAGACAAACAGGTGACTCTGGTTCATAGGCCTGCACTCAGTCCACTGAGCCACACCAGCCGGGGCAAAACTTGTGACTCCTTTTATTCTGAAGGAATTTCTGCGTCAACTTAGATTTTTTAAAAGATTGCATTAAGACGTTCTTTTCTTGAGTACTGAGGTGTGGGGCACCCCCTTAGGTTCTGCGTGGAAGCCAACTGCCTCACTGGCCTCACCTCGTGGGGGCCCGGGGCTCACACACGCCCCGGGAGGGTTAGCGTTCTGCCGGCTCTAGAACCCCGGCTGCGCCCTCCGTGGAGCCCCCACCACGGCCCTGCGGACAGGGCCCCGCAGTCATCCCCACTCGACAGATGATGAAGCTGCGATCACGCGGCTAGGAAGAGAGCAAGCAGGGGTTCCCGCTCCCCTCTGCCTGACTTCGCAAAGTCTGGGCTTTTTTTTTTTTTTTTAAGATTTTATTTATTTTTAGAGAGGGAAGGGAGGGAGGAAGAGAGAGAAACATCAATGTGCGGTTGCTGGGAGCCATGGCCTGCAACCCAGGCATGTGCCCTGACTGGGAATCGAACCTGTGATGCTTTGGTTCGAAGCCCGCGCTCAATCCACTGAGCTACGCCAGCCAGGGCTGGGCTCTTTTTACCTCCCTCCTTCCCTCGGCGATGATCCATCCGCCCTAGACACAGACGTGCCAGACGTCAGACTGACTGCGGTCGGGTGTCTGGGGGGGCCGGAGGTGCCGCGGAGCCCTCCTCAGGTCCATGCACGCACCAGCTGGACTCCCGGGGCCTTGCTTCCAGCCCCGTGAGATTGTTCTGTTCCCCATCCCAGAGCGACGAGGGCCGGCCTTCGGGGCTGCCCTGGGCACCTGGCCCCCGCCCCCCTCCCCGGGCTGCCAAGTCCTCCAGGAACACGGCACTGCCTCGCCTGGTGGCCCCAAGGGCCCCTGAGAGAAAAACTGACTCGGCCCTTGATCCCCGTGACTTGTGACATGCACGCCGGGAATGTCGGGAGAGCAGCTGTAACAATCTATCCGAAGTGATCGCCCTTGAACGGGGCGCACTGCAGCCAAACGAGCCGGGATGAAAGGCGCAGGGTGCAGGCACTTCCCTGTCTGGGGGAGGAGGAAGGAAGAAATGATTACCCAATAGGTTTTGGCTTTAATTGATTTGTATTTTTTCCAGGCTGCTAAAGATGATTAAATCTTGGTATGAAAAGTGCCTAGGGCTGGAAATAAATGAGGAGAAAGGCAAGTCGTTTCAGAAATGTCCAGGAAGCAAGCAGAACGTCTCCAGTGCAAATTGCAGGCTTGGTTGTCGTGTTCTTTGTTCCGGGGGGGGAGGCAGCCTCCTTTCTTCCCCGGCTGTCTGCGCAGTCGGGTCTGACGGGCCTACCAGGGCCTGGGGGCTCTGAGCTGCGGTTCTGAGCGGGAAGCAGAACTCAGCCGTTCCCCCCGCCCCCGCCGGGGGGCGTGCCTCCGGGCTGCTGGCTGGTGGAACAGGCTTTGGCGACGAGTCCAGACCCCTGGTTCCAGCCCTGGCTCTGCTGTTAACAAGTGGCCTTGGCCAACGATTTCCCCCTTTCTGGGCTTCAGTTTACCCCCCGCCTGCCCCCATAAAATGAGTTTGGATGAGTGGCTTTTCAAAGGGCTTTGGGATTCTGACGCTCCGTGGAGAGAGGCCCGGAAAGGGGAAACGACTTGCCCACGCCGCTTGGCCAGGTATTTTTCACCACGCTGTTTCTCCAGATCCTCATGTGCAACGTGGGAAGGAAGGTACCCACTTCTCAGGGATGGTGCGAAGACGAAATGCGATAATACTAACAGTAGCGCCTATGCAGCTCGCCTGACCAGATGCCAGTTTCGGCCCCATACTTCAGATACCATGGGATCCTCCCATACCCCCCACTTCATGGGGGAGGAAAGCGAGGCGCGGCGCAGGCTCACACAGCTAGTGGGAGTGCAGCCACGATTTGAACTCTGGGCAATGTGTAATGACCAGGCCATACGTACACCCTCTCCAAAAATGTGCACAAGACTCCACGGATGAGCCCACAGAGAGCTCAGAAACGGCGCCTCCCACTAAGGACGACGATGAGAGTTACAGCTCGCAATTCAGTGCTGCGGCGGATACATGCACGGCCCTGTCCCACTTCACGCCACCCCCACCGCGTCGCACCCCCAACCCCTCCGGGGCAGCAGCAGAGGCGGCCCAATGCACTCTCCGCTTCCCAACCGCCCCCCCCGCCGCCCCAAGTTTCCAAGCCTGGGGCTTTCACCTCGCTCGTCTCACAGCAGCCTTCACTCCCAGAGCGCCCCGAAGCTGGAGTGCCTCCTCTGATGTCTAGGGCCCGGAGGAGCGGGACGCCCTTCCCAGGGTTTGGGAGCCGGAGCAGGGTGTAGGGTGTGGAGGGCTGGCTGAGAAGGGGCGGGGCCACAGGCCCAATTGTTACCGCGGGAGCCATAGCAATTGGGTCACGTGGCAGCCCCGCCCTGCTCCTGAAGGGGTCCTTGGAAGCAGTGAGTTGGTCGGAGGGTTTCCAGCGGGACCCTCGGCCCTCAGGCTGGTCCTTTGGACTCCCTTCCCTCCTCAAATATCCTCCTCTACTTCTAGTCTTCGTTTTAAAGATGGGGACACTGAGGCCACCGAGCTTAACGCCCCAGTCAGGGCGCACAGGCAGACCCCGCAACAGATCCCGCCTCCTGCCCCCTCGGGGGGCCGAGGGGCCCTGGAGGTGTTGGCAGGTGTCTCAACACTGGACGCCCCGCCCGGCGCATCTCTCCTTGTCGAAGGCCACAGCTGGAAGCCACCTGAGGTGCCCCGCGGAGACGCGCCGAGGGGACAGCGCAGGCGAGCGGGAAAGCCCTTGCCCGGGGCCGCTGAGAACCCTGGCCCGGGAGCACGAGTTCAGCCCCGCGGCGCACACTAATGGCGTCAGGGAGCGGCGCCCCTAGCGACGGCCGTCACTAGGGAGCGGCGCATGCTGATGACGTGGGGAGCGGCGCCCTTAGCGACGGCGGTCACTAGGAAGCGGCCGCGCTGCCCGGCAGCATGGACGCGACCACTGCTCCGCACCGCATTCCCCCGCAAATGCCCCTCTACGGGGAGACGAACCACATCTTCGAGTTGATGCAGGTGACCTGGACAGCCCCACCCTGTGGCGACAGTGGGCGGAGGCCGTGGCACCCCTGTCGCGGTATCAGGGGGCGCGCCCGCGAGCCGGCAACAGGGGGCCCACGTTTGTTAGCCACGAGGTTGCCTAACTTGGGGTGTCTGCCTCTTGTGCCGCCGTGACCCGAGGGTCCCTCGATCTGAAGACGCCCCCGCCCCTGTCCCGCGGGCCCCGGGAAAAGAAGAGGGGCAAGCCGTCCGAGCCAGAATGGGGTCCCGGCTCTGCGCCGGCCGGCTGGAGGACCGGGGACGAGGCGGTCCCTGTCTCAGTTCCTCCGAGTGTGCAGGGCCGGGCTGCAGGAGGTGGTCTCCAGAGGGCGCTCGCGGCTCTGGCAGTCCCGTCCGTGTGCAGCGTTGGCTTCCGGGCCGGGCAGTGCCCGAGTTCAAGGTGGCAGGCCCATCCTCTGAGAGACCCGCCTCCTGGGACAGCATCCCTGCGGTTTGGCGAGCAGCGTTTCCCATCGCGCCCTTCCTTCTCAGGGTCGGGAGTTTCTAGCTGCTCCCAGGCTCTCCTCCTGGTTCCTGACCTCGCTGGCCCCCCTCCCTGTGTGACCTCAGGCAGCGCGGTGCCCAGCGAGTGTGTAGGTGTCCCTTCTGCCCCTTCCGGAGAGAAGGGCTTTCAGGAACTGTCCAGCACTCAGACTCTGAGGGCCAAGGGGAGGCCCGGGCCCCGCTTCCAGAGCATCTGTCTGCTGCTCCGGTCTGCCCCACCCCCAGAGGCTTCACCCTGACACCTGCCGTTGTTTGAACCGGACCCGCACACAGGACAGCAGAGCTCAGCGTTAAAAACCCCAGTGTCCATCTCCCCAGCAAACATACGCTTCCTTTGAAGGGTGTTCACCAATAGAGGAGAGAGAGACGGAGATCTAAACTTGAGTGACCGTCTAAGTAAAGAAAACGGCAAGCTGAGTTGCAAGGCGTCAGGCGTGGGGGTGGAGGGCGAGGGAGCGCAGGGAGCACCGAGGTCCCCTGAGAGAGCGCCACACGTCCCCACCGTGACTTTTGGAAGGTGCGGCCCCAGAAAGCTCGGTCCAGCAGTTCCAGCCCTCGGTCATTTGTGGGCTCCTTCCATGGTTTTTACCACTTCCACTTTTTTTTTAAAGATTTTATTTATTTATTTTTAGAGAGGGAAGGGAGGGAGAAAGAGAGAGAGAAACATCAATGTGTGGTTGCTGGGGGCTGTGGCCTGCAACCCAGGCACGTGCCCTGACTGGGAATCGAACCTGCAGTGCTTTGGTTCGCAGCCCGCGCTCAATCCACTGAGCTACGCCAGCCAGGCCTCCGCTTCCACTTTTAAAGTAACTTGAGACCCACAGGAAGCTACAAACTATGAGGTTCTGCTGTGCTCTTTCCCTCGCCCCCCAGTAATAACGTCTGAGTTAACGACAGCACGTCAGCAAAACCGGGACAGCGAGGGCAGCACGAGGCTGTGTGGGAGCTGGACCGGGGCCTGAGCGGGACTCCGCCCGTGTCTGTCCGCGCCCGTTACTCTCGGTGCGCGCGCCACTCTCCGCAGCTGGGTCGCCTGCGTGGGTTCACGTACCTGCCGGCACGCTTCCGTTTAACGTCACCATTTCTTTAAGTCAACCCCCTTTCCAAAACTGAAGTGATGTAGTCCTTCTCATCCTGAGCACTATCCTTGAAGTCATAGGTCTGACATGTGTCTCCAATACACATTAGATGTGCAGCTATGTAAAAGGGACATTGAGCCTGTTCGTCCGTGAACCGTCAAACGTCGACTCATGCCACCTCGCCAGTGATCACCTGGCCACCAGGGAGGCCATGCAGCCGTGTGGTTTGCCGGCAGGGCTTGGGGGGTGGGGGTGGGAAGCTGAGGCCCAGGGAAGGACTTGCCGGTGAGTTTGGGAGTAGGCCTAGGACCTCTCCCAGCTCAGTGCCTTTTACCGACCCACACCCCTCTGCCCCAAAGGGCGGAAGCCCTCTGCCCGTCCCTGGGGCAGAAGGGGGCTCCTAGTTCGTCTGCCCAGCTCCCCTCGGCGGGCAGGCTCACCTCCGTGCTGTTTGTCCTGAAACCGTGGAAGCTCTGCCCCGTGGAGTTCAAGGGCCAGGCCATCCCAGGACTGTCTCGGTATCCGGCTGGTCAATATTCTGCCCCGCTGCAGAGGGACTTGGGTAGCAATGACCGTGTCTCTGGCAGACATCTGCATTGGCACTTACCGTGACTGTCCCTGGCACAGGGATAGGGCGAGGCAATGGCGGGACACTGGGGGCTACAGGAGGGTGCGGCAGAATTTACCCAGTGACTGGTCGGGAAGGTATGCTGGCACCGAGCCCTGGGGACGAGGGTTGCCCCCTTTGCTCAGGGTCAGAGGTGCATGGGAAGGACGGAGAGGGCTGGTCTGTGAGGCACAGAGGGAGCCACGGGAGAGGCCCCGGGACTGACCGGGTCAGGGGCACGGTCCCTCCGGGCCTCCCCAGCCATCCCACGCAGCCTCTGCATCCACACCTCCCCTCACGTGGCCCCCAGCAGCTGCCATCCGGGGCAGGGGCTGGGTCCCAAGGGGAAGGCGTCCTGGTGGGATGCAGTGGAGAGATCAGGCCTCCTAGCCGTTGTCCGTGGCGACAGGTTGCTGGGCCACCTGATCCGGGGGCCTGGGTGCCCCTGCAGATGTTAACCACCTGGGTGTCCGCCCTGCGCCCACAGAACATGCTGGAGCAACTCCTGATCCACCAGCCCCGAGATCCCATCACATTCATGATCGATCACCTGCAGCGGAACAACGATGACGGTGAGAGCTCTCGCCCCTCCCCCTCCTCTCCCTTCGATCTCCCTTCCGTCCCCCTTCCCCTTCCCTGCCCTCCCCTCCCCCCCAGGGAACAGGAACAGAGCGGGGTGGGGGGTGGGGACGGGAAGGCTGTGAACAGCTCTGTCCTGCTGTGCCTGCAGGGTGGTCAGAACGGGGTGGGGAGAGGTTTTGACAATTTGGGCTGGTGGTTAATTGAAAAATGCCTTAATTTGGGGGGAAGCACAGCTAAAAAATTCTCCGGCCGAGATATCGAGAGGAAAACCTTGGAGTGGCCCACAGAATCAATTATTAATGCCTGCGCACGCCCCGGCTGAGGGTGCCTGTTGGGTTTAAGCTCTGTGATCGCCCGGCAGGTGGAAATGTGGTTTCCGGCCCACCTGCACGGCTGCACGGCGGCGCTCGGCGCTCGGGCTTTGCTGCTGGCCGCGTTCCCGGCACCCGCTAACGAGCTCCAGTGCTCCCCGCGCCTTAGCCTGAGAGCAGGTGGGCTGGACCCAGCCGGCGCTCAGCACTGGGAGTGGGGCGGGCCGGCCCTCGGTCCACGTGCCGGGGGAGGAGGGGCGTCTGCCCCGGCCCCGTGTGAGCTGCCGGCAGGACCGGGCTCCTGGGGCTTTGATGTTTCTTTCATGGAGCGGCACCGCTTTGAAGGGGCCCCGGAGCCCCCCGTGAGACTTGCCCTCGGCCTTGCCCGTGGGCCGGAGGCCTGAGGGGCCCGGGGGTGGGGTTCAGAGGCCTCAGATGAGACAGGATGCTGGGCAGCTTAAAAAAGAGAGGGGTGGGGGAACCGCCGCGGGCCTGCAGGTGGGCGGGTGCACCCGGCCTCGCCCTCGAGCTCTGCCTGCAGGTCTCCCCGTGGGTGTCGGTGTCGGCCTTGCCCCCGGAGCACTGGCGGGGGGGTGGGGGGCTGGGGTTGGGGGCGGTTTGCAGAGCGCAGCTGAAGGGCCCAGCCGTGCCCTTTCCCGGGCCTCCAGCTGGGCAGAGTGGAGAACCGGCGTTGACCGGGAGCCTGTATGCCCCAGGTGCATGCACAGCCGTGGCCTCGGGGGGCCGGTGGGGGCCGCCTTCCCCAGCTGTCCTCCTTGGGGTCCCGGTGGGACTCACTGTGCCCTTCGGAGACTGCTCTGGAAGGCCTCCGGTCCCCGGTCCGCACAGGTGGGCGCTCACCTGCTCTGTGGGTGGGCGTCAGACGCCCTTCCTCCCTCTGTGGGGGGCCCGGAGCACGGCTGCCGGGCGCAGTGCAGGGGCTGCCCCACCGTCGCCACCAGCGAGGCCGGGGGACTGGGAAGGAGAGGCAGAAGGGCGACGCAAAGGGACAGCCCCGCTCAGAGAGCTCAGTGACGCCCTCTGCTGCTGGGATGCTGGGACCGGGTCCTGTGTGCCACCCCCCCGCCATGGGGCCCCCCCGGGAGCTGTGGGACAGCATCGCCACCCCTGTCCTGCCCCGCTGCCCTCAGGTGGGCCGCGGTGTCCAGACCCGCACGGCGCAGCTCGAGCGGGGGCGGCCCCCCCACCCCCGCCTGCCCCGAGGGGCCTCAGGCCAGGTTTCTGCCCGGGTGCCGTCAGAGTCACTGGCCCCCAGACCTCGGGCGGCAGCTCAGCTGCTTACGTGCGAAGAGGAGGAGAGGGACATTTGTGGGCTTCCCTGCCAGGCCCCAGCCTCCACCCACCCAGGGGTGAAGCAGGAATGTGGGAGGCAGAGGGGAGGCGGGGAGAGCACCCTGCGTCTGCGGTTTTTTGGAAGTGGGGGGGGGGCTGTTCTAGAAGAGGATGGGGGGGTGTGGGGGGGCCCCCTGACATCCAGCGAGCATTCCCATGCCCTGGGCCGGCGGCGCGGGTCCTCCTGCCTCCCCCTCGCTGCATGGCGGCTGGACGCCAGCCTCTCAACTCCCTGCTCCCCGGGCCTGGGGGTGGGGGGGCCTGTGGCTGGTGGGGAGCCGCCCCCACGCGGCGGGCAGCCCCTGCCCCGCGAGGAAAGCGGACGAGGTACAAAGCGAGCGTTTAGAGTAGCCCAGGGCAGTATTAGCTGGGGCGACGTCGCGTGTAACGGCGCGTTGCGTTTCTTATCAAACGTTTGTCCGGGAAAGCTGTGCATTAGGGCCCCGGCAGCCGAGGGTTTTCTTGTGAATTTTAAATCATGCTCCTAGTTAAACCTCAGAAGCATCTGTGGATGGAGAGGGTTTTGATTTCCTTTGAAGTGGTTCGAGGAAGTTGATTACTCTTGGCAGTCGAGCCGCCTGTATGACACTGTTTATAAATAATTACTCGCGAGCAGGGCTGCCGTTTGGCGGAGTTAGATTTCAAGGAGCTGAAATTAATCAGATAAACGTGCGGGAGCAGCCTCGGGGCCGCGGTCGCTGCCTGGCAGCGCGGGTCCGGAGACGCGCGCAGCGTGGGTGTCGCGGGAGCCTGGACGGGCTCCCCGCGGCCTTTGAACCCTGTCGCTCTGCGAGACGGACGCGCCACTCGGGGGGCGGGCTGCCCCCACGCACTCTCGTCCTCCAGGTGCCTGTTCCTTCTCCTCGGCTCCGCAGCCCCGAGCCCCGCCGGGCGGGGCCCTGCGGTTAAGGTCTGGCTGGAGGGGCAGCGGGTGGCGTGTGCGGCAGCAGCCCCATGGCCCGCGTCAGTGAGTGGCGCTCCGGGCATGGCTGCGGTGTCCCCCGCACGGCACGGGGCGCTCACCGCTCCCGGCCACTGGCCCCGGGCCTGGTCCTGCCGTGTAGGCTCTGTGAGCCTCGCTGACCCTGCGTTCCACCGCTCCCTGTGGCTTGCCCCCGAGAATGCCGAATGGCAGAGGGCGTCTCTTTGTCAGGAGGCAGCCCTGGCGACGACAGAGGTGATGCCACTGGGTGACCACAGACAGAGAGGAGGACAGCTGAGAAGGAGGCGCTGCAGGTCCCGGTGCGTGTGGCTCCTCCCAGTCCGGCCCTGCCGTCGAGGAGCCCGCCACTTGGTGGGGGACAGCGATGCCACCGCCCGGTCAGCCGTGGCACAAGAGTCGGGGCGGGGTCAGGAGGGCAGTCCTGGGGGGCAGCTGACCGCTGCGAAGGTAGGGACGTGGAAAACACCTTCTGGAGGAAGCAGGTGGCTCCAGATCAAGGGAGAGGGGATTGTTTGGGGCTGCCGGGCGACCTGGGTCCCCAGCGAGCGCCCTCTCTGGAGGTCATGGCCCTTCAGGTCCTAGAGGACTTAGAGGGACCCAGAGCCCTGTGGCCACAGCAAGCGTGGACGCGCCGGCCCAGCCTGCCTCGGAGAGGAGCATCGCAGTGCGTCTTGGCAGGCGGCCAGGCAGCACCGGGTGCTCTGGGCTCCCCATGTCCCCGCCTCCCTGCCCCCACGCCCTCGACCTGCGTCACCGCCCCCAGGGGCACATTACCTGCCTCTCGCCCATGGCTGGGGCTGAGGACTCACGGTGTTCTGGGGCGGTCAGTTGGCGACCCACGGGAACCACGTGGCGGCGGGAGGCTGGGGAGCACTGGACGTCGGTCGTATTCTTGGGGCGCGAGCAGCTCCTCAGTCCGATGCAGGCGGAGGGGCCGTCCCTGTCAGGCTCAGGCTGGTTCTCTGGCGTTAGCCTGGGACTGTCCCCCGGGGCCCGGCCCACCGGGCTTTTCTCAGCACCGGGCTTTCTCGGCAGCATGCGGCCCGGAGCGGAGCAGGGCAGAGGGGCCCAGGGAGTGTTTGTGGAGTGAATCTCAGTGATCTTGAACTCCCCCTCCGCAGTTTCCCTGGAGAGGAGACGGCGCGGCGCCTTTGGGCAAAGGCCACAAACCCGGCAGCCCGGCTGGGTGTGGTGCCGACCCTCCCGCTGCAGCCCAGACGGTCCCTGGTGCCCCTTCTCGGTGTCCCTCCCAGACCAGGGGTCATGCAGGGCCGCCCTCTGCCTGGACAGGACCCCTCCCGGAAGCCCGGCAGGGACGGGCTCTCCATGTGCTGTCAGAGGCTCAGGGGAGCTGGAGGGCACCCGTGTCCAACGTCCCCAACCCTGGCTCTGGCCCCTTGATCCCCACTGTGTAGAGGCGGGGCCCCGATCAAGGCGGTGGTCAGTGAGCCCTCTGTCCAGGCGCCACGGCCTTGTCCTGCGTCCTAACTCAAGCACACACCACCCACGCCCTTTCTAGGATGCTGGCCTTTTCCGGCGGCCGGCACGACCTCCCGCCCCGCAGTGGGGCAGCCCAGCAGGCGCCCGCTGGGCCAGGCCCCTCGCAGGGGAGCGGGCAGCCAGGGTCTCTCTCGGCGCAGAGCCGCCTGTGCCGGGGACAGAGGCTCCCCGACCTGGGGCTTTACAGACCCGGCCCACGCCGTGCAGGCCCTGCCCCGTTACTTCCCTCTGCAAAGGGACGGGGAGTACAGTTTGCTAAATAAGAGGGCATAAATATTAAACAGAGAAGCCCTGAAGGTCGATTTACATAAAATACGGCTTTATTTGGGAGCCTGTCCCCGAGACAGAGTCCCTGTTTAAAATGCTTTACGGTGTTCGAAACCTCGGTTGTCCCCGGTATTTATTGGTTCGGCAAACGAGGCACCGTGTCCGTGTCCCCTCGGAGACAGGGACATAAACCGTCTCAGGGAGCGCTCACCTCTTCCAACGCCGAGAGGGCGCCCGGGCGAGCCGCGGGTGACGGACGGCCCTGTCACGGCCCTGTCTCGTGCAGAAAATGAGATCTGGGAAGGGAGGGAGGGAGTAAATCCTCCCTGAGCGCGGTGGGCGGGCGGGGGAGGCTGCTGTGTCGTGCTGAGCGGTGACTTTGGAATCTTTTCATCCCGCAGTGCCCAGGATTATAATACTAGGCCCGCCCGCCTCCGGGAAAACCACCATCGTAAGTGCATCCGGCTCCGGGTTGTGACCCTGTGGCCCGCCACCCCGCGCAGTTGGGGGCGGGGCCGCCCTCCTGGAACGGCCATCACAGCCGGCCTTTCCCTCTTTCCCTTGGCCTGCTACTGAGCTTCTTTCTTTTTCTTTCTAAAGATTTTATTTTTATTTATTCATTTATTTAGAGAAGGGGGAAGGGAAGAAGAAAGAGAGGGGGAGAAACATCAGTGTGTGGTTGCCTCTCATGCATCCACCTGCTGGGGACCCGGCCCGCAGCCCAGGCCTGTGCCCGGCCTGGGAATCTGTCCGATGACCCTTTGGTTCTCAGGCCGGCACGCAATCGACTGAACCGCACCAGCAGGGGCTTGAGCTTATTTCTTATTGAAGGAGGCTGTGCGTGCTCATAGTAGGAAACCTAGAAAATACAACAAGAAAAAGAAAAAAGAAAACAAAACAAAACAAAAAACCGACCCAGAAATGTAACCCCCCGCCCCCCCGGAGCGGAGCACTGCCCGCCCGAGCCGGGGCAGAGCTGCCAGGGCGTCCCCGCGGCCACGGGACTCTGTCTCTGCCCCTCATGCGGTCCTCGGGGCGGCCTCGAGTGCCGACCAAACAGCGCCCCCATTTCCAAAAAGTGGGCGTGGAGTCTTCAGGCGTGCTCCTAAAACTTTAACCATGAACCAGCCCAACCAGTCAGAAAAGTGTACTGGGTACTCAGCCCCCTTCATTTCTTCTGGAATCTGTCGCTTTGCCACCTCTGCTTCCTTTCCAGCCTGGAAGACACAGTGAGCGCCGCGCCCTCTGTCCTGAGGCTGCTGTGCTCTGTCCTGCCTGCCGTTTCGATCTTTGAGCTCCTTTTTCTTTAAGGGCCGAAAACCTTGTTAAAGTTCTCACCATCTGAGATGGCTCTTTTTCTGGCTTTGAAAAGCTTGTTTGCCTTGGCTGGTGTGGCTCCGTGGATTGAGTGCTGGCCTGGGAACCAGAAGGTTGCCGGTTCGATTCCCAGTCAGGCATATGCGTGGGCTGCAGGCCAGGTCCCCAGCAGGGGGCGCACGAGAGGCAACTGATCAGTGTTTCTCTCGCACATCCGATGTTTCTTTCCCCCTCTCTCTCCCTTCCTTCCCCGTCTCTCTAAAAAATAAATAAGTAAATAAATCCTAAAAAAAATAAAAGGCTGCTTAGCCTCAGTGCACTGTCCCTGTGTCATCCCCGAGCCCCCCTCCCGGGCCTGGAGGGCGCGGCAGGCGGTTTCCCTGCCCGGCTGGCTCTCAGGATGGCCAGCCCGTGCCCCAAATAACGCACACCTGCTCCGCTTCCGAGCGGGTGCGGCTCTTCTGCGCCTCTACCTGTTAGTCCGTCCGCCAGCCTGTCCATCCACCTACCCACCTGTCAGCCTCCCTCTCCAGTTTTCTACTTCGTCCCGCGGGCTCTGGCTGTCAGCTTCTGGTCCCTCCTGCACCCCCCCCCCTTTACAAGTGCAGGGGCTCCCTGCCCTGGCTGCAGCCAGCATCCCCAGGGTGCACGGGAAAGGCAGGCCCCCGGACTCTCCTCCGGTCAGCAGCTCCTGGGGAGGCCCCGGAGCCCGTGGGAAGCGCCCCCGAGATGGCACTGAGTTTGGGACCCAGGGTGCTGGCCGCCTCCGCACGACCAGGCCCCCCGGGGCCGTGCTGAGGCAGAGTCAGCGGCCCAGCGGCCCGGGGCGAGGACACGCCTCTGCCGTGGAGACAGCCCACAGGCTGGGCCCACTCGCTCCCTGCCCCGCTCTGGCTGTTCTCGGGCCACAGCGCGGGATTTAGGGGGCCTGGGCCCCTCGGGAGCGGAGACCTCCTCTGGTCTCCCCCAACCCCGACCCTCCTGCGGGGTCAGGGCCCGGCCGCGCTCAGCTGGTTTGCGAGTCCGCCACAGCCTTTCCGTGGACTGGCTGCCCGCCCCGCCCCCCGTCGGGGACACGCAGCATCTAACTTCACACTAAGATGATACACAGTCACGCCCAAACAGAGGGCCCCACGGGGCTGTTTGCGGGTAGTGCACCGCCCACTCGTCCCAGTGAGGGACCGAGGGAGTGGGGCCTCCTGCCTGCCCAGAGGCCCTTCAGGGCTGCAGCCAGAACAGTCAGCAGGGTCTGCTGGGCACAGAGGCCCTCCCACTGCGACGCAGACACTGTTATTCCCGACATGCACTCTTCCCGTGTGTACACGCTGGCCGTGAGGGAGCCTGATGGTTCATCTCCCTTCTTTAAGAAAACGTCAAAGCCCTGGCTGGCGTAGCTCAGTGGACTGAGCGCGGGCTGCGAACCAAAGAGTTGCAGGTTCGATTCCCAGTCAGGGCACATGCCTGGGTTGCAGGCCATGGCTCCCAGCAACCGCACATTGATGTTTCTCTCTCTCTATCTCCCTCCCTTCCCTCTCTAAAAAATAAAGAAATAAATTAAACAAACAAACAAAAAACGTCAAGATCGAGTGTGGCCATGACCTGCATTTAGGGCCTTTCCCTGCATTTCCTGGTACAGCTTCCCCGAGTTCACAGCCCGTGGGCTGCAGGCCGGTAGGGCCGTGCCCCGGGCAGCCTGCTGCAGGGCCGCTGGGCGGAGGGCCCCGGCGGGGTCTCGGGGCGGAGGAGGGAGGGCCTGCAGGCCGAGCTCCCCCGCTGGGAGGCCTCGTGCGCCTGCCTCCTAGCCTGCCTCCTCCCGGCAGGAGCGGTCCGGCTCCCCTGCGGCCCGGCCGCTCTTGCCAGACCCGGCGGGGCCCCGGGCACGCTGACCAGCACCCTGCGTCGCAGCCCGCACTCCAGCGTCCCGCCCTCTGCCCCTCCCGCAGGCGATGTGGCTCCGCAAACACCTGAACAGCAGTCACCTCACCATGGAGAACTTGATAGCGAAAGAGTACTCCCCTCTGGCTGCCGCTGCCCGGAAGCATTACCAGGTGACGAAGGTAGGCCTGGCCCCGGGGCGGGAAGGGGGCGGGCAGCGCTCCCAGGGCCCACCCCCACGGTGCCCTCGGCTCCCCCGAGCCCGCTGGGTGCAGTGGCGGGGGGGGGGGGGGGTGCGGTTGCTGGGGAAAAGGAGGCCCAGGCGGATGTGAGGGGAGGAAGGGGAGAACTCTCGGGCTGCTGGGCACGGTGGGCGTGGCCATCTCCTCCGCAGAAGATAAACTGACTCTCCAGGGTGGTGGGGGCAGGCGTACTTCCAGGATAAAGATGCTTTTATCGGGTTTATGGAGTTCTGTGGAGTGGAGGGAGTGGGAGGAGGTCCCTCCTGGGTTTCATTAGGCTCATCACCAGCACATTTCAGACCACACCGAGCGCTCTCACGGGTGTCCTTTGTGGGACGGGGGGGGGCACTCTGTGCTTGCAGCCGTGGTGGGGGACGAGAGGCCAGGGCGCAGGGCTGAGCAGGGAATGGTGGGTTTGGAGCCGCGGGGCGGAGGGAGGGGGCAAGCGGCCTTGGGGAAGGTGGCACCCACCAGGCCAGGCCAGGCGCTCACTGGGCGGCGTCTCCAAATGGCCTGCGAGTGTGGAGTCCTTTCTGCGAGTAGACAACCCCGTGGTCGCCGACATCCCCTGTCCATCTCGGCTCCGCGCTCGCTGCCCTGGACCCAGACTTCTCCGGGGCAGGCGTTTCCCGGTGGCTTCTGAAGCGCCCCCTAGTCACCCACGGTGCGCCCGGAAACAGCCAGGTGCTCAGCTCTGAAGTGAGCGCCAGTCCGGTGCTGCCCCCAGGAGAGCCCCCGGGGAGCTGGGGCAGGGGCGGACAGACCGGGCCTCTGCTCTCCCGGCCCGGCTCTGCTCTGACAGGTGTTTGTGCTGTGGATGAAAGTGCCTGTGACGCCCCAGCCGGCATCGCCCGGAGGGGACACAGGGACGCCGGGGCCTGAGACCGGGGCCTGGTGGCGGGACCGCTCTGGCCCGAGTCCCCCCAGGAGGAGGCCCGGGCCGGGAGGAGGCCCGGGAGGCGCCCCAGGCACAGAGCAGCCAGGGCCTGCCCCTCGGCCCCACTGCCTCTGACCAGCAGCCTGCCGCTCGGGCTGTGGGGCCGGCCGCCTCCAGGGCAGCCCCTGGGGTTCTGCGCGGCCGGCGCTGGGCTGGCCGGGCAGGAAAGGCCCACACTGGAGCCCACGCGGCCGGTGCCGCCCTTGACAGCACGGAAGCAGGCTGGGTGTCCCTTTGTCACCAGTCGGCAGGGTGAGGGGCTCCGCTGGGCTCTGTCCGTTTGCCCCTGGTCCTCCCCGAAAGCCAGGCCTTGGGGCCGGGGTGGGAGAGCGTGGCAGGGCCCCGGGAGGAGGGCCTGGTTCCCGCGGAGGCGGTTTGGCAGGACTCCGCGGCCTTGTGACCCATTGAAGCTGGCGTGGCATCAGGGCGGCCTGGCGGGCAGGGGCGGTTGTGGGGGGGGCACCCCAGAGGGGTCCACTCAGAGTCGCCAGCGTGCCCTGCTGCGCAGACTGCAGCCCCCCTCCCCCACACCCGTGCACCCCTGCACCCCCTGCGTCCCCACGCCCCGGGGCCTGTGTGAACGCTGCCTCCCGAAGGGGTGCTGTCAGGGGAGGGAGAAGGGTCTTGGCAGACTGGCCTCGGGGGGTGGGGGGAACAGGCTCTGGGACCCTGGGCGCCAGGTGCGGAGTGGGCGCCGGTTTCTGTCTGCGTCCACGTGCAGGCCCGGGTGGGGGGGGGCGGGTCAGGAGGGCTGCCTGCAGGTGGCAGGGCTTGGAGCGGGGTCCCAGAGGGAACCGGGAGGTGCCTGGGTGGGCCTGGGGAGATGCACCTGGGTGGCGGGAGCGCAGGTGAGCGGGAGCACGGAGGCTGGTGTGGACACGTGGGGCCGTTAAGAGGTAGCCCGAGGGGAGGGAGCTCAGGGGAGGGGGAGGGGGAGGGGGGAGGGGGAGGGGCGGTGCGGTCAGGGACCCGGGGAAACCGCGTCGTCGGGGCTGGGCCCTCGGCTCTCACTGAGCCCACCGGCCCGCCCGCCAGTGCTGCGCCCTCGGGGGCCCGGCGCCCAGGCTCGGGCCTCACCCCGCCCGTCTCTGCCCCGCAGGCGGTGCCCAGCACGCTGCTCATCGGGCTGATGGAGGAGCGCCTGGGCGAAGAGGACTGCGTGCAGCGGGTGAGCGGCCCTGCGGGGAGGCGGCCCTGCGTCGTCGCGTCAGCCGGGGCTCCCGGGCGGCGGGGTGCTGTCGCTGGCGGCGTGTGTCGCTGTCCCGGAGGGAAGGTGACCGGAGGCCTGCAGAGGGGGGTGTGGGTGACGGACAAACCCTGGAGGGAGGGAGGGGACACGAGAGGGTGGAACCTGGGGTGTCCGCCGGGGCGTTTGTGGGAGAGAGCTGGCTCGTCCCGGGGGGCCGTCAGTGCGAGGACAGCCGTGGGGGCAGGGGTGGCGTGGGGGGCTACGGCAACCGACAGCTCGGGGAGCTGGACGCCCTGGACCTGGAGGAGCAGGGGGGTACCTCAGACTCCCCCTCCATCCGCTGGTCCCCTCCAGTGCCCTCTTTGGAGGTCGGGCCAGTGGCCGCCGGCTGAGGACATGGTCCATCGTGGTCTGCAGCGGGGCCTCTGTGGGGCCCGGCAGGCCGGGGCTGAGAGCACCTCTGGGCCAGCCAGCCGTGCAGCGGCCGGAAGAGTGGCACTCGGCGGGCACAGGGGCTCCGCACCTTCCCCACGGGCCCCCCCCTGCACGCCGCTCCCCTGGCTGTTCCTGAGTGATGCCCCTTCACACACTGCACAGCGAACCTGGGGCCTAGTAAGTGAAGCGTTTTTCTGAGTCTGGAGCCGCTCTAGCAAACTAACCGAGCCCGGGGTGGGGGGGGCGGGGAGAAGGGGGGCGGGGTCCTGGGCACTGCTGGTTCCCAGGCCGTGGGTTTCCAGAAGCACAGGTGGCCATCATCACTGTAGTGCCCTCTGCAGCCGTATCGGGCAGCGTAACTGACCCTTGGCCAACTCTGTGCCACTTACGTCGATGTCCAGAATGACAGGAATTGTCCTCCTTGTTACTGTTTTGGCGACAGGGCCGCCGGCCTGACATGGGAAGCCTGGGGTCCCGGCCTGGGATGTGGCCCATGGGCGGGCGGGCCCTGCGGGAAGGCTGTGATGGCCACCGTGCGGACAGCGACAGGGGCCCGAGGGCCTTTGCCATGTAACCCCCGCGCCGGCACTGTGCGGTGGGACCGTGGTCGCCCCTGGTTTGGGGCCCAGCGTCCTGGTCTTGCCCACGCTCGCCACGTCCCTCTGGGCAGGGGCCCCCCTTCCCGCGGCCTCCCAGTTCTGGTTCGGGTCCAGCCCGAGCCATCGTCGCCGGCGGAGCGAGGAAACCGCCCCTCCCTCTGTTGCGGGTTTCTGCGGAGCTGCGGGGGGCATGGGAGCCCGCTCCCCCCCTCGCCCCCCTCACTCACGCGGGAGACAAAGCCTCATCCGGAGTAAACAGGCCTTCTTGCTTCCAGGGAGGCAAGTGACACATATGCATACTCATTTATATGGTAATTATTATTATTTAGCGGCACGGGGACCAGGGCGGGTAATTTAGAGCACAACAGAGATGCAGGGGGTGGTGCTCAGGGAACAGTCCTGCATTCATAGCCCGTCAGGGCTCTGTGGTTCGTGCCGATTCCCCCCCTCGGTGTAACGCAGTCTCTTTGAAGAACTTCTTTGAAGTGACCGTCAAACACATCAGAGGACCGGAGACCGGCACTCGGCGTGGGCCTGTCGGAGGGAGGGGGGCTCTGCCTGGCGGGGACCCGGTGGCCCTTCTCGGGGACAGGACAGCCGCGTTCTTGGAGCCCGAGAGTGCGAGTCCTTCAGCGCGGCCCACGAGGGCAAAGGGGGCGCTAAGACGCCGGGCAGGATATTCGGGGCCGGGGGGGGGGAGGCTCTGTACCCCAGGGGTTCTGAGTCTTTGTGTTTGCATGCTGCTCGTCTGACTCACTAAGCACTCCCTCCTTCCCGGGCACCCAGCCCGGCCCCCCGCCCCACCCCGATCCTGCCTCCCGTGGCCGCGGAGGGCCCCCTTCAGAGTGGAGGGGGTCTAGTTCCTGCCTGCAGCACGGTTCCCACGGTCCAAGAGTCAGAGGGTCCCCCAGTCCCCCTGGACTCCTGTCCCCAGCTGTCCCTGTCCCTTCCCTGGGGGTGGCTGGTGTTGCACTCCCTTGAAAAAAGACTGTTTGATACACAGAGAAGCGTTTTTCTTTTTATTTTTTTTAAAGATTGGTTTATTGTTAGAGGGCGGGGGAGGGACTGCGCCCCAGCAGAGCAGAGAGAGAGCTCCCCCTCCCAGCCTGAGGGTGTGAGCCTCTGAGTTGGAGAAGCCGGGGGTGGGGGTGGGCCTCGGGGGGCGGGGGCGGACCGGGGGCAGCCCCCAGCCCGCGAGCAGCCAGAGCCTTTCCCACGCACCTGCACCTGCGTGGGCTGAAGCGGCTCTCCCGAGTCCGGCCTCAGGTGAGAGCGCAGCCCGCCGGCCGGAGCAGAGCGCAGCGAGGGGCCGTCTGACCTGGGCCGCGGACGTGGTGTGTCCTGCCCCCGAGGGCGGGACGACTGCCACTCAGCAGTGGAGGACATGAGTGCACACTCCTGTCACGGCCCGAGGAAAACGCGGCCCCTCTTGCAGAGGCCGCAGCCGAGGCTGCTCCCGAGAGCCGGATGCCCTGCGGGGGCGCCCAGCAGAGGGCAGCAGGAGCTAGTGGGGCGGGCACCGGGCCAGGGAGACACGGGGCCGCGACCGCCCCGCAGCGGCGTCAGCGCGGCTCCCGCTTCTCCGGAGACGGCCACCCAGCTGGTGAGTGGGGCACCGGGGCCTCCCATCTGGCTCAGCGCGTCAGCCCGTAGGGCTTGGAAGAGTGGTGGAGATGAGAGTGGGCGAGTTTTGCTGCAATCCGTGACACATTAACCCCCCCCCCCCGCTTCAGTTTTAAATACGGATGACCCGGCGACCTGCAGTGCTAACCGTAGATGAGAGCAAGTGTCAGCACGCGAGAGAGCAGACGCGCACTGGGTTGGCACGTCTTTTACTTATTTGTTGAGACGTGGGCTTCGCCGGCGTCCGCCCCGAGGAGTTCTCCTTCTGCACCGACAGCCAGCCCTCCGCACGTCCCCCTCCAACAGCTGGCGAGGTTGGGTTTTCCGGGGGCGACAGCATGGGGCCCGGCCTCCGGAAGTGGGGTTAAGAGTGAGTGGAGGAAGACGTGGAGCAGGGTCCCGGCCCCCCAGGACCCGAGCCGGAGGGAAGAGGCCGTCGGGTGGGGAGAGAAGGGACACAGGAGGCGGGTGTGTGCTTCCTGGTGGCTGGGACCCAGACACCCTGAGGCGGTGCCAGAGGGGCAGTGACCAGGTGAGGCAGCCGCGTGGGCAGGGGGAAGACAGAAGGACAGCTGTGCCTTGGGGGGTGGCGGCCCAGAGTGTCCCCCAAGTATCGCCCACGTCTCAGGGGTGCAGAGCCACCCCCTGGGGATTCAGCCTCCTGCCTCTGGAGGAAGGGGGATGCCCCCCCCCCGGCTGCTCTCAGGAGAGAGAGGGGCCCCCACATCCCCCAGCAGGACATCCCCGAGTCCGCTGCCCGCGAGCTCGCTCCTGCGCCGACTTCCGTGAGGGGCTCGAGCGCCTGTGGGGTCGGGTCCGAGCAGTGCTGCGGCCGGTGCCCGCGGACCCGAGGGACGACGGCAGGCGCCTGGCCGTCCTCGAGGACACGTCAGCGTCGTGTGCTGCCCTCGGTGTCTTCACGTGCCTCCCTTTTCTCTCGTGGGCTGGGAGCCACCTCCGGTTTCACCAGGAAAAGGCCCCAGGGCGTCTGGGAGCTGAAGCTGGGAGCTGGGCGGGGCGTCCTACAGGAAGACCCAGGGGAGCGCCCCACTCTGCCCCTGTGCTCTGCGGGGGAGAGGGGAGGAGCCAAGGAGCCCAGGGGCTGGGCGTCAAAGAGGCAGAGGACCCAGCGAGAGCAAATGCGCCGGGCAAGCATCTGTCCCTGTGAAACTGCGCCTGCGCCTGAATTCCGGCCGAGAGGCGGGGAAGACCGGCGTCCCCAGGGAGCTGGGTGCCCGCGTCCGTCCGGCAGGCCGCGCCGGGCTGGGCCTCGCTACGTCCCCCGGGCCGGCCGGCCGCCCCTCTCTCCTTTCTTCTCACCCGCGACATCTGCTCGGTGCTTGTCCCTCCTGTGATACCGCCCCCCCTCGCAGCTGTGCAGACCCCCGCGCCAGCGCGCGGGGCGCCCTGAGCAGACGGCCCCTTTGATGTGTGATGAAACAGGACCGAGCCGCGGGGGCAGGCGGGCGCCGGCGCCGGAATATCAATTAACCTGCTCGGAGCAGAGCTGCGGCTCCGGAGCGGGGCGGGCCCCTAGCGGAAGTGCCAGCAAGACGGGCGATGTGTTCCAATTAGGGGTTGGCCGATGCCTCCGCGCCCAGTCGCTCCTGGAAGGCAGACCCACGGACCTCGCTGCGGACCGACCCGGGGCCGTCCTGGCAGCGGTCAGCGGCTGCTTGCTCATTCATGGCTTCTCGCCCTGCCAGACTTTGCAGGCATGAGCTTGCTCTCGGCCCACATGGGTTTCCCCTTGCGAAGTAGTGTCCATCTTGCAGCTGGGCAGCTGCAGGGATCATATGCAAAGGCAGGAGCTCTGGGGAAGACCTCCGAGCACCAGGCCTGGGGCCCTCATCCTGAGAATGCCCCAGGACCAACACTCTCCCACCGGCGCCCCTGCTTTCCAGGGGGACCCCCTTGGGCTGGTGCGCGGCTGCCCTCAGGGCCCCTCAGGGACGTGGGGTTGGTGCCATCCCTCTGGGTCTGTAAGAGCAGCCTGGAGAGTTGGGGGGGCGGGTGGAGCCTGCGAGTCCCTCCAGAGCCCCCTCCGTCTCGGTCCTTGCGTCTGAGATCCGCTAGGCGCTGTGCGGCGGTGAGGCCCGGCTAATTAGGGAGATGCTCCTCATTTTGCTGCACTTTTCCTGGGTAATTGGAAGCTTGCGTTCTCCAGCGAGTCGTCGTCGGTGAGGGCTGTTCCCGGGAACAGCCCTAAAAGCTTCGGACCACATGCTGGAATCGGCTGCACATGTATGGGCGAGATGCTAATGAGGGCTCCGCGGAGGAGGCCCGTGTCCCGCCGCCGGTGAGGACGGAGTTCCTGCCCGCTCTCAGCTTCAAACGGGGGCCGGAAACAGGGGGGCCAGCCCTTGTTTTGGGGGAAGCTGTCGGTGGGCTGCCGAGCCCTCCCCGACAAATCAAGGAAAACTCCGGGGCTGCGTGCGGCCAAGTGCAGGAGCCGGGGCGTGGCGTCCGGAGCGCACGGGCCCCCCCTCCCCCCGCCCATGCGGGCCGCCTCGGCGCCTGCGGCTGCGCCCGCATCCGTGGACGCGGTCTTCTCCGGGCCGCGGCCCAGCGCCGGCCGCCGGTAACAAGGACTTGAGGGAGCAAACCGCTGTCCACGGACTTCCTCTCGCACGTTTGCTTCGTTAGCTCGGAAACCCGGGGCTCCGGGACGGCGTGTTTTCCTGCATAATTTAAGAAATTAATGATAGCATGCCTGCTTTTCCCAACACGCCTGGCTCTGTAAATTTGTTTAGCTTAAAAAAAAACAAAACAAAAAAAACCCTGTCAGTTGAGGCTGTTGGAACCTAAATAGTTTCCTGTTGAAGGACTGCAGGCTCCTCTTTTTTTTTCCCAGGGGAGACGGGGCTCGCCCTGTGCGCACCGTGTTCTGCGGGGCCGGCGGCCTCGCGTCTGAGCTCCCCCGTCCGTCCACCCTCTGACCTCAGCAGCCACGTCCCCCTAAGGACCGGCGGCGGGGAGGGGTCCCCTTCCGAGAGTGGCGGGGTCAGAGCCCCCGCCCGCCCCGCCCCCGCCCCCCACTGCAGAGCGGAGGCCCGAAGCTGTGGGTGGTTTTTGAGTCGCTCTTCGCAGCGCAGCTCGCCCCGCCTGACGTGGCGGGGCGTCGGGCTGAGCGCGTGCCACTGCGCGTGCGTGGGACTCGGCGCGTGGGACCCGGAGAGGCTTGGGGGGCTGTTTGACGTGCGCGCCGCCGAGGGACGTGGAACACGGCTTCAGCACGTGGGAAGCCGGCGTGTCGGCTAGATGCTGCAGAGGTGTCGGTTCTTGTTGAATTAATCTGTACCCTGAATGTCGATACAGGATCCAGGGGCCGTTTCTGTTTCGGAACTTGGCAGAGTGTTTTTGCTCTGTCCTGGAAGAGCAGGGTTGTTGTTTTTTTTTTTTCTTTTCTTTTCTTTTCTTTTTTTTTTTGAAAAAAGACAAAGGAGGAGGAGCAGAATCTGCTACATACAACAAAAAAATTATAAAGCAGCAACGATTTCTCTGGGGTGAGGACCATGCCGGTGCCCAGGGGCACCGAGAGGCCCGAGGCAGCCTGGCGCCGGCGCCCAGCCTGGGACACGGGTGACGCCGGGGGTGGACGGGGGTGGACGGGCTGTTGCATAGACTGGGTCCGGACAGTCGGTGAGACCGGAGGAGACCCGTCAGACCTCAGCCGCACGTCATTGTCACACGAAAACGCGGCCCCGTCAAATATTTACACGTAGAGACCGAACCTGCAAGAGAACGCAGCTTAAACGCAAGTGAGTATTTATCCGCGTTCGTGGTGCCAAGCGCTTCCCTCCCGCAGCCGCGCGGCCCGAGAACGTGACGCGGAGGAAGCCGATCAGTTTGGCCGAAGACGCGGGAGTCGCAAACAGCCCCCGCCCCCATGCACAAGGTGAAGCCCCCCCACCCCCACACATACACGAGACGAAACAGCCCCAGACAAAACAAACAGTGGAACACATGAGCGACGTGGTTTGCCTCCAAGGGCCTGTGGTCGTGTTTGCCAGAGTGGGCTGCTGTCTTTGATACGTGAAGAGCCCTTGTCAGTAAATAAAAGGATAACCCCCGCCCCCCCACGGGGACAGTGCAGAGAGAGCACGATGAGCATTTTTGGAAAAGGAAAAACTCAGCCAGTGGACGTGTGGAAACAAGGCCGAGCCTCGCGCGTGATCGGAGACGTGTGCCTGGAGGCAGCGGAGCCCGGTTCCCGCTGGCCAGACACACGTCCCCTCCCTCCGGCGCTGCCGGCCGCGGACACGGGGGCAGGCAGCCGGGCCGGGGGTCCACCAACCGCCCGGAGGTTCGGCCGTGACCTGGGGGCGCTTCCGCGGGCGCCCAGGTGTCCGTCCAGCGTGTTTTACGTGGGACAGTGAAAAGCCGGACCAACACCAACTGCGCGTCCGAGCGGCTTCGCTCTCGTTGGCAGCGGGAGCCGCCCAGGGCCAGGCGGCCGCGGGGACCCCAGGGAGGAGCGTTTCAGGACATGGGCATGTTCCCGGAAGGTTTTTGCTTTGCCCGAGAAACAAAGCCAAGACCACAAACAGCATGTTCGGCGTGAAGCCGGGGGCGGGGCAGACGTGCCGGGGGCGGGGCGGACGTGCCGGGCGAGCAGCGGCTCGTTGGGCTCCACGGTGTGACCAGCGACTTGGGTCCTCATCGCGGCTTTTCCGTGTTTTCCAAGGGGCGCACAGTGGCCGGGCCTGACTTTCACAGTCGCATGTGGAGTTGATAAAAAGGGACCTCCTAAACCAAACCCCGAGCTCTTCCCGGAGGGGCCTGAGGCCCGAGGCATCTCCGCCCTGCGGCGAGTTCCCTGCAGAACGGGAGCTCGGACCCCGGTCTCTCCGCGCTGCGTCTGCGGCTTGTTCCGAGGCAGGGCGGGGTTTGGCTTTGACCTCGGGGGCTCCTGGTCCGGGGCCTCGCATCCGGGGAACAACTTCTCCTTCAGGAAATAAGCCGGGACGTGGGCAGAGCTGTCTGCACGGAGGTGCTCGTCCCGGCATGATTCCCGTAAGGTTGTTAATGGCTGCATTGTCACCCGCGGGGTGTGGTTACGTGACCGTGGCAGCTCGCTCGGCGGAATGCCGTGCGGCCGTTGGAATGGTGACCGTGAAGAGGCGTGCCGCCGCGGGCGCCTGCCGGGGGCGCTCTGGCGCGCGATCGGGAAGCACACAGCACGGTGTGCAAGCCGGCTCCACCGTGACGGAGTTCAGAAGGGAGCAGGGGGCAGGTAGGACGGTGCACCCGCCAGGAACCTTTATTTTCTTTTGTCTTCAAAGTTCCGATTTTTCTGTGAATCTGTCCGATTCCTTTATTAATTCCCAAAAACCTGCAAACCGGAAACAGACGGCCCCTCTCCACCCCTCCCCCTGCCCAGGGCTGGATCCTGGACGGCATCCCCGAGACCCGGGAGCAGGTGCTGGCCATCCAGACCCACGGGATCGTCCCCAGACACGTCAGTGAGTGGCCCCGGGGGCCCCGACCCGCTCTGCCGCCCAGGCACCGCCCACAGGGGGAGGGGCAGCACGGTTGGGCCTTTTAGGGGCCTAAGTGCGGGGGAGGGGGGGTCCTTGTCCTTAACAGGGTGGGCTCCGGGTTTGGGCCTGGTGGCTTCTTTGCCCCAGGAGCCCCACCTCTGAGAAACTCTCTTTAGGAAATCGTCTAAAATGTGGCAAAGGCGCTCGCACGGAGATGTCCCTGGTGGGGTTATTCTAAAAAGTCACTTACTGATTGGTTTGAGGGAGGGAGGGAGGGAGCGTGGGGAGTGTCGGTTTATCTGCTGCCCCACTTGCTGACGCGTTCTCGGGTCGGCTCTGGCGTGCGCCCTGGCTGGGCGTGGAACCCCGGACCGTGGGCCACGGGGACGGCACTCTGACCAACGGGGCTGCCGGGCCAGGGCCTCAGAGAGTCGTCTGTGATTGTGAGGCCGTCAGCTGTCAGACGGGTGGGGTGCACGCAGTCCTCAGCCCTGAGGTCACGCCCGCTGTGTTTGGGGCTGAGAAGGCCTCCGGGGAGGCCGGTGGTGGGGGTCAATGTCATTACACGGTGTCGGGCCCCCCAGGCTAGTTACTGGTCCCTGCGGTTCAGGTGTCTGGGACCCGCTGCCCAGCACGCCTGGTTTCCTCCTCTGCCTCCCCGCCCAGTCGTGCTGAGCGCCCCAGACACGGTCCTGATCGAGAGGAACTTGGGGAAGAGAGTCGACCCTCAAACTGGAGGTAGGCACCCGCGCCCTGCCCCCACCGCACTGCAGCCCCCACCCCGCCCGCAGCGGCGTCCTCAGCAGCCATGGCCTCCTGTCCTGGCAGAGATTTATCACACCACCTTCGACTGGCCCCCTGTGGCTGAGGTCCAGAACCGCCTGGTGGTGCCCGCGGGCATCTCGGAGCCGGAGACGGCTCGGAACCTGCTGGAGTATCACAGGAACATCATCAGGATCCTGCCCTCGTACCCCAAAATCCTGAAGGTCATCAGTGCCGACCAGCCGTGTGTGGACGTCTTCTACCAGGGTGAGCTGGGGGTGGGGTGGGGTGGGGTGGGGAGCGGGCTCACCTGCACCCCAGCCTTCCTTGTCCCACCGTCACTGAACCTGGCGGCGCCCGATATCCCTGAGGGTGAGGTCCCCAGGAGCACCCCCCTCGCAGCCCCTGGGCTGCTGACCTTGTACACCCTGCGTGGTCGGCAGATCTGACCGGGAGGGGAGGGGCGAGGAGGGGCGGGGCCTCGGCGGGAGAGCTGGCAGCACCGTTTGCGTGCGCGTAAGGGAGACAGGAGGGACGTTCTATAAAAACTGGAAACAGGGCAACAAAGTCCCACCGCCAGCACGAAGACCAAAGAGCTGCAGCGCAAGGGGGCGTCCTGAGCCACTCCAAGGCCGCCGGCCGGGGCGCGTGTGCGCAGGGCGGGACTGTGGGCTCGACTGCCCCGCCCCCCGGGGCCTGAGCTCCCACCCCCACCGTGGGCACCCCCCCTGCTGTCGTGGGCAACTCCCCTCCCCCCACAGAGCCTCGGCGTTGCCAGCCCCCCAGGGTTGGCTCAGCGCACGTGGGCTGTTCTGGCTCTCGTGGTGACCCGACCTCTGTCCGCAAGCCGGGGGGAAGCTGGGGGAGCCCCGCCCCCCGGCTGCCGAGGGGGGGCAGCTTTTTAAAGTCGTGCCTCGGTTGTCTGCAAGGCCAGGCGCCCCCCCTTCCGTGCCGGGACAGGCCAGTGACACCGTAACAGTGCCACCGGGCACCCAAGGCACTCGGCCGCTTACACGGCCGTTTCTCACGCTCTCAACCCCCTCCTGCCAGGGGACGTTGCTTGCGGGGGAGGCGGTTCTGAGCACCCCGGGGCGGCCCTGCCGCCGGCCCCCCGCCCGCGGGCGTTCAGAGGTGCCGGGCGCACGGGCGGCCTGTGGCGTCGCCGAGGTTCTGCCCCTCGGAAGGGCCTTCCGCAGCGGGCGCCGCTCTCCGAAGACAGACGGCGTTCGGAAACAGCGTTTGTCTCGTGCCGCGAGTCCGCGCACACACAGTAATTGCTTCCCAATTATCTAACTAAACTCAGAAGTTCACGTGCTCGTCCGTCAAGAGCTCGTGCCTGGAGCTGTAAATAAGAGTGCGAGTGTCTGAGTATATTAATTACTATTAATTAGTAATGCAGAGAGAGAAATGGAAAATTGGAGTGCCAAGTCCTCTCTGTTGCTTTCCCACTCTCTCTGCAGCGCATCCAGCCACCACGTGTTTGTGAAAAAGAGTAATTGGGGTCGGGCCTGTCTGGGGGACCGTTACCTCTAACGAACTTGCTCACGGACGGTGACTGAGCGTCGGGTGCCTGCAGGCAGGCCGCTCCGCCTGTGGGGCGGCGTTCGCTCTCCTCGGGCGAGCCGGCCCTGGCAGGTCTGAGGACACGGAGGCCTGGGCTTGACCACCCCCTCCCTCCGGCCGGGCCCACTGGCGGAGGTCACCCGTGCCCGTGGGGGGGCGGGGAGAGTGACCCCCGGCCCGTCCCCCTCTGTCAGCGGGGACGAGAGTAATTCCGGGCTCCCCGCCCCCCGGGGACTACGGGCCGGGCGAGACAGGGCGAGACTGCAGGGTGTTCGGCTCGGCAGTCGCCACGTGCCGGCGGCGATGGTGACGGGGCCACCACGCACAGCCTGGCACGGTTGGCCCACCCGCCTGCGCCCGTCACTCCAGAGCGAGGGGACCTGTGGCGTCTTGGGTGAGCCTGCCGGCTGAGAAAGCCCGCAGAGAGCGGAGAGGCCCGCCTCCGCGCGACAAACACGCTCTCCCGGGCCCCGGTCTTGTCCCCTCCCCAGGCAGGGCGTCTGGCGACATCTGTCTGGGGACACTGTGGTTGTCACACCTGGGAGGTGCTGCTGGCACCTGGTGGGGGGGGCGGGCAGAGACGCTGCTCAGACCCTACCACGCACAGGACAGGCCCACAGCCAGGAGCCCACGGGTCCCGAACTCGGAGGGTGCGAGGCCGGCCCACCCTGCCGCTCCGGGTGCTGGGTCGGGGTGGCCGGGTTCCTGAAGGCGGCAGCGTCTGGCGCCGCCCCTGGCCCGGGGTAGGACCCGCCTGAAGGTGGGAGGGGTCCAGGGCCCCCTCGGCCGACCTTGGTGCTGGATGCTCTGGGTCCCCGGCAGGAGGCGGGGTGGGGAGGGACACGGGCAGCTGGGGGGCGGCTCCCCTGTTGGGCGCCGGGACAGCCCTGCCCCGGCCTCCCCCGCCCGCTCTCCCGCCTCTCCAGTGCTCCGGTGCTCAAGTGGCAGGGGGCCTGGTCTGATGTGCAGCGGCTGTAGGCGTCCGGGGTCCCGCTCTGTGCGGTGGCCCCGGAGATGGAGATGTGCCCCGCTGTCCTCACTTCTTTGTTCACCACAGGCCAGGGCCCCGCGCCGCCCAGGCCGCGCGGCTGCCCCACCCTCACCCCCCGGGGCCTGGCTGACGGCCGCCTCCTTGGGGGCCGCACATCACTCCGCTCCAGTCCCCGAGTCCTTCAGAAGTCCGCCTGTGCTGCCCCCCCCCCCCCGCCCACCCCGGGGCCTGATGCGGTCATCAAAGGCCGTCTCTGCCACCGGGAGACCGGCCTGGTCCTGGCTCAGGCTAGAGGCTCGGCATCCCGACCTGATCGACGGTGCACATCTCACATCTCGTGTCCTGGGACCAGCCCCCCAACACAGCCAGCCCCCCTTCAGCTGGGAGGGAAGCCCCTCCCCCCTCGGCGCCAGGCCCGGAGCCCGGCCCTGCTCGGCAGACGGGGAGGGCAGACGGGGAGGGCGTCCGTGGAGCCGTGGCGGAGGGGAGCCATTCTGCGGGGGGAGGAGCCCACGCCCACAGCCGGCGGCTCCCGCCCTCTCTGGCGCCCGCGCTCACCACCCTGCCACCCTCTCCCCCAGCCCTGACCTACGTGCAGACCAACCACCGCTCCAACGCGCCCTTCACCCCGCGGGTGCTGCTCTGCGGGCCCGCGGGCAGCGGGAAGAGCCTGCAGGCTGCGCTCCTGGCCCAGAAGTACAGGCTGGTGAACGGTGAGTGCCGCCCGGCCCTGCTCTCCCGGGGGCAGCCCCCTGGGGGGACGGGTGGCCAGGAGGGCACCGGCGTCGCTGCCCTTCCCTGAGCTCCGCTCTGAACACTCTTCAGTGGGTCCGTCTTCGCCGGGATGACGTTTTTTCTTGCCCAAGGATAATGGCCATCCGAACACGAACCAATAAAACCGCGTGCGCAGCCCAGGGAGCCGGGGCCGTCTCTGGCCACCCGCCCTCGGGTCCCCTGCAGCCCGGCTCTCTGCGCCCTGCCCCAGCGGTGCGGCCGCCACCTGCAGCCGCCCGCAGCTGCCCGCAGCCGCAGTTCCTGCGCAGCCGCAGCTCCTGCGCAGCCGCAGCTCCTGCGTAGCCCGGGTTGCTGTTCATTCCTTTCCCCGTCGCGGGCAGCTCCCCGGCCTGGGGCAGCGTGTTCACAGGCAGGCCGTTTCTGAACCCGAGGAAGACTTCTCGCCCGGCACGGCCTCAATAAGTATTTATTTCACCAAGAGGAGAGGAAACGGTGAGATCGGTTCTCCGGGACTTGCCCGGCGTGGTCCCAGGCGGCCCCGGCTGCCCGCCCGCCCGTCTTCAGGACGGTAGAGGGCTGGGCGGGGTGGGGGGTCTCAGGGCACTGTCGCCCAAGTGTGTCACCAGCCCAGGTGGCCTTTGCTTCATTTAGGAAGAAAACACAAGGCCCGTACCCCCACACAGATAAAGGTGCGTACCCCAAATCACACATACACGTCACCCCAGGCCGTACATGCGCACGCACACACACACGTGACGCGCCGCCCCGGGAGGGCCGGGCTCTGCGTGAGCGTGCCGCCCACTCAGGTCTCCCACACGCCGGGAATTAACGACAAAAGCCACCCCCACGAAACGAAGATGGAGAACCGAGCGGCAGCTCGGCTCTGATGAGTGTGGGGAAAGGCGAGTCACAGTGGTGTCTGTATCTCACTACAAGTTCTCAGTGGTAGTGTTCTGCCTTGGTTAGTTTGGAGAGTAACCTGGCCACTTCAGGATGAAACATGCTTTTGCTGACATCAGTGGGTTTTTTTAAAGCCATTATTCGGATCATTTCTTCTTCTGGCTTCCCCCCTGAAGAGGATCTGGAGTCGGAGGGACACTGAGCGCCCGGCGCTCCAGCTGCGCCCATGGGGGCCGGGGGTCCTGCGCCGCACGTGGCGGGGGGGGGGGGATCTAAGCAGTGCGCCTGCGGCATCTGGCTACACACAGTGCGTGCCCCCGTGTCCTGCCTTGTTCACGCAGGCGCCCTCGTTCAAGAAAGGCTTCTTTTTTTTAATTTTTAAAGATTTTATTTGTTTTTAGGGAGAGGAGAAGGGAGGGAAAGAAACATCAATGTGTGGTTGCCTCTCATGCGCCCCCTACTGGGGACCTGGCCCACAACCCAGGCCTGTGCCCTGACTGGGAATCGAACCGGCCACCCTTGGTTCACAGGCCCACCCTCAATCCACTGAGCCACACCAGCCAGGGCAGCATTTTATTTTCTTATTCTCACCCAAGAACATGCTTAGAGAGACGGAAAGGGAGGGAGAGAGCGAGGGAGAGAAACATCAACTGGTCGCCCCTCGCCCAGTCACTTGTCGGGGAGACGGAGGACCACACCCATAACTCAGGCAGGTGCCCCGACCGGGAGTCGAACCCGAGACCTTTTGGTTTATGGGATGACATTCTTCCCAGCCGAGCCACACAGGCCAGGGCCGTGTCTGATACTGTAAATATGCCTGGTAGACAACACAGAGTTGGTCTTGCTTTTCTAAAAAATCCATTCTGGCCCTGGCCGGGTAGCTGCGTTGTCCAGAGCATTGTCCCAGCACTCCAAGGTTGCAGATTCAATCCCCAGTCAGAGCACCCAGCTTCCCGTGGTCCCCTCACGCGCAGTGTGAGCAGGAGCGCCCGTGGGGTGGGGCGCGGGGCCCAGCGCATCTCCTGTCTCCCTCTGGAGCAGGCGCCAGCGCACCCAGGCCCTGGTCTGCCCTCCCCGGGCCGCTCATTTGTAATCCGTCCTTGCCGGGTGCGTTCTTTCTCACTCCGCGTCTTCCTCCGTGGGCCCGTTCTCCTTCCCTGACTCCTGCCAGCGGACTTCGCCCGGACGGACACACCCCCGCCCTCGGGGAACCTTTCACGTTTCTCCCAGCGACCGCTCCTTCCTGCCCAGCAGGCAGCGCTGGGGTTTCTCCTCTTCTCATTCTCCTGCCTGTTGAAAGTCTCACGGCGTCTCCCCGGCCTTCTCCCCTCCAGTCTGCTGCGGGCAGCTGCTGAAAGAGGCCGTGGCGGAAAACTCCCGATTCGGCCAGGACATCCAGCCGTTTTTCGAAAAGGAGATAGCAGGTAGGCCGCGCTTTCCACAGCTGCCACCCCCTCACACCCGCCGTGAGGTGCACCAGCCCCCCCCACCCCCCGCCGCCAGAGCGCACACAGGGGAGGGCAGCTGGGCACTGGGAGCTGGGCACTGGGAGCTGGGCTCTTCGGGGGCAGAGGCTCTGCGCCTGCAGGCTGAGGGTGAGGCCTCCGGGCTGCCCAGCCTGTCCCAGGGGCCCGGGGCTTGGGGGGCCCGCATGGTATCCACCGCGGGCAGTCTGGAAGGTTTCCGTTTGTCGGGAACCTTTGCTTACATGGGGCAAACCTGAAACAGAGACCCAGGGGAGGCCACGGGCGGGTGTTCCGATTTCACCCGCAGCCAGAGCCGGAAGGGTCGGGCCGCTTTGCAGGTGCTCGGACTGACCGGCCGCTGGTCCTCCGTGGGCCTGACGTGACCTGTCTGACAGGGGCCGCTGGGCCAGGTCATCTCTCCAGGAACCCCCCCCCCCACCATGATCCACAATCTGAAGACGTTCCTAAGATCTGACCCCGAGGAGAGACCTTTGAGATCATTCTGGTCCAGTTCCCTGCGTCCACGAGTGATCGGGGGCGGGGGGGGGGTGCCAAGCCTCTGCGGCCACCCAGCCAGCGCGTGGCCCCTCTGGACCCTGACTGCCCCTCGGGCAGAGCGGTTTTCAGGCCCCTGCGTCCTCTCGTGCGTAAAGCGCTGTAGCCCCACTGTGCGGTCAGCACGGCTGTCAGGTCTGACACGAGCGTGGACTTGGGAGTCACACCGACCCCGAAAGGAGCTGTGGTCATGACGGGCAGGCGATGGGCGTGCTGGCCGGGACACCGTCCGGCAGCGTGTGCAGGGCCTCCTCCCCCATCCTCCGGACATGGGGAGTGGACGGGGGAGCCGTAAGAACGGGCTGCCCGCTCCCCACCGGCAGCTCGGACAGCCCCGGGGCCACGTCCTGGCCTGGTTCTCCCAGGTCCCCAGGGCGAAGCTCGGTGTGCGGGGGCCAGGTGTGCGCAGGGCAGGTCGCGGAGAGAGTCTGTTCCCTCCACGGCCGGCGGCTGTGGGAGCTGGAGGCACCGGGCGAGGGTCAGGTCCACGGTGGGCTTTGGAACTTCCCCGCCCATTCAGACCCTGGGGTGCCCCCAGCCCTGCGCGGCTCTCAGAACCCGGCCCTCTTGGGGGCGAGGGGGACGTGGAAGTCCCCGGCTGCGGGGACGGGTGAGGACCGATGGGCGGTGTGTGTGCGGTGCTGGTAGGGAAGTATCATCGTGGCGGCCGCGGGGACAGGGGCCCGAGCCGCAGTTTCCTCCTGCAGCGGCAGCCTCCGGTCACGCAGGGTGCTGGGCTGCGGGGCCCCCTGGAGGACGCGTGATGGCTGAGTGGGCGGCTGCCTGACCCGGCGACAGACCGCAGCGTTTTACAAGAGGCGTGGCTGCGCGGGGCTGTCTAGGGCGCGAGGGGGTGTGACCGAGTTCTGCGCCAAGGGGCCCGCAGCGGTCCAGGAGGAGAGGCGAGGCCCACGCAGCTGGCGGTTGACGACTGTCCCGCGGGGTCTGCAGGGGTTCGACTCGCTTCTTGCAACTTTTCTGTGCTTGTGAAGCTTTTTTTTGGATGGAGTTACACAAAGTAAGTATTTGGGCGGTTCCCGAAGTCGCACCCCTCCTGCGATCCTGTAACATGCACGGTGTGCCCACAGGGGCTTGCGGAGCCCCTGAGGACCTCGGGGTAACCGGAGGGGCCAGGCCCAGGTGGCGCCCTCCGCAGTCGGGACCCTTCGTGCGTCCCCCTGGGAGGGCCAGGTGTTCACCTTCTGTTGCTGGGGACGCGGACTGGGGCGGGGCGTCAGCACGGACGTGCCCCGCCCAGCGCCGTGGGCGGGGCCGGGTCCATCCGCAGGCGCCGGGAGAGCGCGCCCGCCCTCGCGCGTGTCCAGCACGTAGCGTCCTCCGCCTTTCCCTTTCTCTCCGGCCACGGAAACTGAACCCAGCGAGTCTCTTCGGTGGCAGCCGAGCGGCGGCATTGCTTCCTGTTCTTTCCAGTGACTGGAAGGAGACGAGACGCACGGAAGCGAGCGACACCGGTAGCTTCCGCCTTCCGTGCTTTGTGCTAAATTCTGCGCGCTGCCCCCAGCCCCCCACAGCCTTTTGTTCGCGGAGCCTGTGTCGCTCCGCACTTCCCGTTCCCACAACCTTAGAGACACAACAGCAGCCGGCACGGCACCTTCCTAACGAGCAGTGAGTCCCGCGGCCTCACCGACCGCGATGCGGTGGGCTGCGGGGCGCATGTACCTTCCTGGCTCCTCCGGGGTGGGCTGCGCACGTGTGGCCGGGAACCAGCGTGCTCGCTCGGCAGATCCTCGGGGAGGCCGGGCCGGCTGGCAGGGCCCGCTGCTCCGCAGCCGGAAAGCCACTCGCCGCCGGCGGAAAGGAAGAAGGGGTGGGTGATTCTCCGGACCCCGCCGGAAGCGGGGAGGCCGGGCTGGACGCAGACACCCTGCCGCCAACTGCTGCCTTGCCAGTCTGCTCGCCGAGGCCCTGCTCCCGGAACCCAGTGCTGCGGGGTCTGGGACCAGGGGGAGGGGTGCCGTGTTTAGGGATGGGGCCCGTTTTCAGCCATGTCCCCTCCCCGCGTCTGAGCTCTGCAGCCGTGTGGGGGCAGGCCTGGAGTTTGCCAGGGTGTCGGAGGGAGGCCGTGGGCATCCACGGGCTCTGCGGGGCTCCCGACACAGCCCCCCAGGCCAGGCCTGGGGCCCAGCCCGCGGAGGTTGGGAAGGTGCTGCCCCTTTCCCAGTGAGCGGCCACGTCCCCATGGTGGGGCGGGAGGCTGACCCCAGGCCTTCCTGAGAAGAGCCCTGACTAGGTGGAGGCAGCAGGGGTCCCGCGGCCCTGCGCCTGTTCCCGTCTGTGCCCCCGGAAGCCTGTGAGGTTCGGGAGCTCGGGGGAGGGGCAGAGGTGCTTGGTACAGACACAGAGGCCTCCTCACCCTGGGGCCCGGCCCTGGCCCCTCTGGGCGGGCAGCTGCCTCCGCCGGCGCACGCCGCGTGCAGCCACCTCGGTGCAGAACCGCAGCCTCACCACCGGGTCCGCCGGCCAGCGTCCTCCCACCTGTGGGCCTCCCCGCTGGGGACACTCCGCCCCGGCTCCCGGCTCCCGGCTGCCGGCCGACTCGGCAGGCTCTCGCCCCCTCCTCTCACCTTGGCGCCGCAAGCCCGGAGCTGGCAGTCCCACCGCTGGGGCCACCCTGGAGGTCATCGTCACCACCGTCAGCAGCTCCGCGGGGCAGATCCAGTCATCGTCCTTTGTCCCTTTGTCCTTTCCCCGTGGAGCCACCCCCCCCCCCACCCGCCTCGGGGCCTCCGGCCGCGATGTTCCCAGGCATGACCTCTGCAGACTCCGTTATGTTCCCCGGCGTCCCCGCAGGGGCTGCCAACACCTCCTCCTCGAGGCTCAGCGGCAAAACTAATAACGGCGTTGTTTTCCCATCTTTCACGTTCACTGGGCAGCGGGCCCCAGGGCCCCATCCTAGTGCTGGATCCTGGGCTCCTGGCGACAGGCTGGGACCGAGGCCTGGGTGTTACAGAACAAACAAGGGGGGGCCTGGGATGATATACTATTACTGAAAGAAGCCCCCAGGTTCGTTATGTCCTCCACCAGAGGAAAGACGTCTCTCAATGCCAGAGATTTGTGAAAAGGAAAGGAAAACCTTTATTTAATGCTATACAAACTTAAAGTAGTGACCTAATGTCTTTATCAAAAATCCTGAAGTCCCTTAAAGCACCCACAAACAGACACAGTCCTTCCTTCCTTCCCCCTTTGCCCAGTCCAGAACCGTATCTCCTAAAGCTGCGGGGGTCCCTACTCTGGCAAAGGCACATGGTCCTCTCTCCCCGGACCACAGGAGTCTCCACTCCGTCAAGGCTGCGTGGTTCTCTCCCTCAGGGTCGCGAGGGTCTTCACTCTGCTAAAGCTGTGTGGTTCTCCCCCTTCAGGGCTGCGCAGGGTTCTCCCCCCTCCATGGCTGCTGCGTCTCGGTTTAAATCCCAGCGCCAATCTTCCTCTGCAGCCCCATTTCTGGCTCCTCTCACAATTGGCCACAGCTGCCAGGTTCTGGGCAGGTGTGGCCTTGTGGCGTGGAGCCAATTATCTCCAGGCTCTTCTGGATCTTATTACAGATCCCTGTTTGAGGCTCCCCTCTTGGCTGCGCCCCGTTACATGGGGGGATGGTGCTTCCGTGGCCTGGACTTGCAAGTACATGGCTCTGACCTCCTAAACGCATCCTGACTCAGGTGCTGCGAACAGAGCACAGTTATTCCCAGGGGCTCCGCCCACGCCTGCTCTCTCGGCCGCCGCCGCTTCTGCAGGCCCCGGAGCCAGGAGTCAGGACTGTGCGGGACTCCGGGGTCGGCTCTGAGTCGCTTTTATGTGGGTGCGAAGCAAGCCACCAGCCTGCTCTGGGCTTTTGGGAGCGTGTTTTCTCAGCCGCTGCACGCCGTCAGAGTGGGGTGGCCCTGCCCCCACCCCCATGGCAGGGGGTGCAGACCTGCTGCTCGGCCCCCAGTCAGGATCTCTTCCTCTGCCCACGCGGCGCGAGGCTCAGTGCCTCCACCTCCACGGACAGACGGCCGGCTGGCCGGCTCTCTCCCTGGGCGCCGCTCCCAGCATGGGGTCTCGGCGGAGCTGAGGTTCCTTCCCTCCAGGGACCTGGGGCTTCCTGAGGAAGGCAGCCACCTGTCCACGTCCGCGGGGCTGTCCGGGTCCCCAGTTGTCACCGAGCGCAGCAACCAGCCCTCCTTGTCGGCCGCGGCGGACCTTGGGGAAGTCTGCACCCCCGTACTGTTCGCCCTTTCCCAGGACCCCGTGTGTGTGGCTGTGTGTGTGGGGGGGGCGGGGGCTGCTGGCGGCAGGTGCGCCCCCACCCCAGACCGCTGGCTCTGATCTGGGACCCCGAGGGCGGCCTCCCACCCGGCTGTGCCGACCATGTCCGTTCCCGAGCGAGGCCTGGGCTGTCTCTG